AGGAGTCATCTGCCCTGTCTAATAATTCATTCAATATAATGATATAGACATCTAAAACTCCTTTCCTTTTCTTGTGGGTACCAAGTGCAGCTAATGTTAAAGTAATTAACGAGCCAATATGGCTGTTTTCTTGGATATCCAGGACTTTGTCTGAGAGCATCATAGCTCGGATATTAGTCAGTTAATCTGGTGGAGGGAATGTGTTGAGAGGAAAATCCCTACTCAACATATAAATCATTAAATCCACGTTCGTCACACTGGAGAGCTCGCCGAGGATTTGGACTTGGCTAATCACTCCTAGACTAATGAAAGCCAAGATTTCATCGACTTGTTACCTTTTACAAAGTTTTATCCGAGTGTCAGGTATGCCTTACTAGTTTTGCTAACATTACCAGCAACAACATGTACGGTGAAGCGATCGTTCAGCACATTTCGTTGTGTAAAAACATGGCTTAGATCTACAATGTCAGATGAACGTCTGTCTGGATTGTGTATGTTAAGCGTACACAGAGACAAAGTGAACTGCAACAAAAAAGACTTTATGGACAAAATTGTAGATATGTTTGGTAGTGATAACAAACGACTCCAGTTCTTGTTTAAAGAATAAATTTTATTTTAAATTTATGTTGTAATATTTTTTGTTATATACATACATGTATTGTGTTGATAAAAAATTTGTTGCTACAGTATGCCCTTCATTACTACAGTGTCCTGTCCGTTCGTTCACCATACAAATACGCTACAGTAAATTCAAACTATATTGAAACATTACTAAAAATATTTTGCCCCCCTCTAGAAAATGATCTGCGGGCGCCCATGGTTTCACTCCTGGTGGGTTGAGGTCCCTTGGTCTGAAATAAGAGGCAAAGGCATTGTTAAAATACATGTGGTGTGGGGGTTAGGTAGGGTGGCGTGAGAGAGACTGGAATTCCCGAGTGTTGGTCCCCTTAGGTGCAATGCCCTCAGCTATCTGCTTCACGTTGGGTGGCCTGTGGTAGTTTCCGTTGTCTTCTTATTCCTGGAAATATACTAATTTAAGATGTTTGATTAGCTCTATGGCATTTACGTAGTTATTCGCCAATAGGGCTGGAACAGGTGGGTGGGGCAGTGCTGGCTATCCAGGAGAGGGACTGAGGTTTCTAGTACTGGAGGCATCCTCGTTTGCCTCCCTTGATCTGCTCGTGCCTTGATGGCGTGTTCCTCTCCTCCTCCTCCCTCTCTGCTTCATCATCGGTTGTTGTTGCTAGTCTCCGTATCTCTTCTCTTTTTTCTACTAGTTTAGTTACAGCTTCGTTTAGTTCCTCGGATAGTCTGTATTTCATATCACGTTTTTTTTTTTAATTCTGGTCTTGGTAGGCGACTCTCTTGGTCCAGGTTGTCCTGGTCGTTGTAAAGGTACACTGATAATGGTGACGTCTTCAGGCTGTGTGGGAATATCTTTTCGTTCGCACTTCGGAGCATTTCTTTAAAGTTGGTCTCCATGCTCTCAAGGCTTTCATCATCAGTTATTGTTCCTGCTTCTGGGGCTGTGATTTCGGTTTCGGTGGCTGTGCTACTGTCACCCTTCTGCGTTATTATGTCTGTGGATGTAAATTTGTCGGCCCTGCTGATACTTGGTTTCTTTACAGCTTTGCAGGAGGCCTCTCTTTCCTTCTCTAGTAGGACACGCTCCGTTCTGGCCGCTAGCTCTGCTGCTTCGGCTTCTGCTTTTGTCTGAACCATTAGGGCGACTTCTTTATAAGCGCATTCTCGGGCTTCCTTGAGTACTGCAATTTCCTTTCTTCTTTCTTCTTGTCGGTGCGCCTCTTCTGCTGCTTTTTCTGCTTGGAGTTTCAGAGTCATTTCTAGCTGGTTTTTCTGCGTTTGTTCAGCTTCTGCTAGCCACTTTGCTTGCTGTAAGATTTGTTCTAGTCTTGTCTTCATACAAGGCTTTGATTTCGCCACGCATCTGCTATATCAGGTCTAGCAATTGGATTCTGTCAGCGTTGACATCGGTAGTGTCAACCTTTTGCCTATGGAGAGATCTGATTTCAGCTAACATCTCAGAAATTTGTTGTGAAATTTCAGGGTCCTTTGTGGCGGTGATCGCCTTATCGACTCTTCTCTCTGATGTGGGTTGCGTTGCCTTTCCTCTCGGTTGCTTTGGTACTACTGGAAACCTGGGTGCCTCGTATCTTCTCTGGCTATTTCGTAGGCTGTTGTTAGTACCTTCTTGAACAAGCTGCAGGTACTATAATAACCCAAGTAACACTTTACTAGCCTCCCTCTCCCCCTTCCCCTTGCAGGTTGCAAGTAGAAGCCATAGAAGACATTCTCAAGAATCTAGTTGTTCACTTTCTGTAGTCATCAAGGACTCTGTCATACAGATTGTTGGTCCTCCTCGAGATTAGATGCCATATTATTGCTGTAAATTTCACCAATATAGATACTCTGCGATGATACATTTCGTCAGGTACATTCGGCAAGTTTTAACACACATGCAGCGAACCCATCTCAACAAGACACCAGCATGTTAATGGCCTCTGTACACTGATCGACATTTGGTGTCTGAACACACAAAGAAAGGCTATGGTTAGTTAAGGCTATGGCACAAAGTTATAGTTAGTAATCTTACATGATCATCAGAATTATGGAACAAGTTGATTCTCCCATGCCATGTAGCAAAACCAACAATGGATTTTTCTTCTTGAATTAATTTTTAAGTTTAATTTTTTATCCATAACATATTCAAAAATTGTGGCTGATTAGTCTATTTTTTTAAAGAATTGTTCTGTTATAAAACCACTTTTCTTCTGCTGTCACAATATTCAAAATTTGGTGATTGTCAGTAATACACTTATATACCTCAGGATCGACTCGATATAACTCTTAAGAACTCTCTTTCTCACTTCAGTTGACAAAGATATATGCATACAATATTTAACATCTCATGAAATGCCGCTTTCAGTTCAAATATTCTGCATATGTTCAGTATTCTCTATGATTATCAATTCTGATGAAATCTGGCACCACCATCAGCTTTCTAGCACATGCAGACATTGGTTAAATGTGACACATTTCTGTAATTACATACCAGATTGTACTGCATGACATTTAAACAAAGTAAAGAACCCTTTTCCATACCTTCAGGTGTATTTGGCATATAGGGCTAGACCTATATTTTTTATAAAACAATCGGCCCTTAGTGGAGGATGTGGTCATCATCACACCGGTCGCCTTTACTTTCCAAGACCGCACTTGGTACCAACTCTAGGCTGGGTAAACCTAGGAGCCAATCTAATTTTTGATGGACCCGATTCATGACCTTCCGATCTGCAGGCAAGCGTCCAGCTGCTACACCACGGCGACTCCCACATGATATTATACAACAGTATAAATGAGAAGACTAGTAAAGAAAATAGCCAAAGATTTCAAATTTTTACAGGAAAAATCAATATATGGGAATGCTTCTATATCTTAAATGTGAAGTGTGATCTGAAAGCAAAAAAGAGACTTATAGCATATAATATAAACTGACTTGATGATGTAAAGTGTTAACCTTCATATATTCCATACCAAAGCCACTTTGTTTTCTCCTCCACTTTGTTGTTTCAGATGATTGTAAGAAATAAAAAAAATTGTATGGTATCCATTTTGTGAAGGTAAAAAATAATAAAACTTATGACAGTTATAATTTTGGTAACTGGCCTCAACCCAATTCCAGAGCTGCTTTGCAGACAACTCATGCTTTCTTTCAAGCAGTATAAAAGGGCTATGTGTTCAAAAACACAGTAAAGATCAAAACTGTTCCCAGAAATTACAATAAATGATGAAGAAACTAAAACACTGACAATCTGATATCCATAATCAACAGCAGTGGAGACTGTACAACAGAAGTTAAAACAAGGTTGGGCTTAGCATACAAGGACTGAAACGCATTGAAAATCTTTGACTAAGCATCAGCAAACAAATCAGAGTCAACATTTTAGTGCCTGCCCCAACCCCCCTGTGGGTTTCAGGGATCTGACGGGGGGAAAACCAGAAAAGACCCACTGCATACCCAATTTGCATAAAAGATTTTAAATTTCATTTACTAAAATTCAGATAAATATAAAAGTTTAAGTACTTTTGACAAGGCATTAATTTTTTATAAATGTAAAGTATTGCTTCAGAGGTCCCTGGTAGTTTCCAAGTTATGCCAGTGTGTTGGGAAATGAGCAGGCAGATAGACTGGCCGGTTCATTACGGTCTGAGGAGAATGACGTTGCAAAGAGTTACCAGTGGATCTGGCTGACACTCAAGGGAAAGGCGAGACAGATACAATCAGAGAGTTACTGGTGCCATCCTAATTGGAACTCCTCGCTTGCTGCTGAAGATAAGGGACAAAGCACTTATGGGAGTGTCCCGAGTACTATGATGTCAATTCTTAATTCAACAATACTCAACAAATAATATATTGCTTGGCATATTTCAAATAATCTCATCATGTGAAACCACAGAATTAAGGCAACATACAATAAAGCAAAATAATTTATCCTTTTAGCTGAAATACAAAACACAGTCTATTGTTTTAATGTGATTTCACAATAGTTTTAAACTGATCATAATACCTTTCTATATGAAAACTAGGATGTATTATTACCAACTTCTCATAGAGACAGTCAATAGAGATACCTGAGGATGGCTGCTGTATCTGAGGACTGAGCACACATGGGAGTGCCCAATGTGCAGTGGTATCAAGTGTGAATACATAACAACATATTTGTATAGTACAAGATTATCCAGGTTTATTCTTACTACTTCTTCATATTTAAACATATATCAGTTCTGTGTATAATGAATTAAATGAAATTTATAACCTGATCCATCAACCACATGGTCAAATCAAACAACTGATGTGCCATGCAATATATTTATTGTTTAAAATGTACAATAAATATTTATAAAGTATTTCATAATGAAATGATAGTGGCTGAAACATATGAGCTCGGTTGCATTGGTTGCACCCATGCATATAATAACTATGTTATTTCTTCCAATGTCAGCCTCCGAGTCCGCTGTAGACCTTCAACTTCATCAGTGCTTGTGGGACCTTCTTCTGAATCACCCAGCTCACCTTGAAACATTTGTTGGAGAAGGACTTCCACTTTTTTACGACCTGAGCATAAAAAATAAATACAAACTCATCACCATTGGTCAAATAATTAATTAGTCAGTCTGGAGGTCTCTATGGCTAGGTGGTCAAGCCATTTGAGTCGCACTCTGAAGGTCAAGGGTTAATTTCATGGATGTGCCATATATTTCATGAATGGAAATTTTTACGGAGATTCCTAAGGATTGTCTCCGGAGCTGCAGAATTCATGCTCTGTGCAACACTCTTGGCAGGTGGCTAGCCATTCTGCGGAGAGTGACCGAGCCATATGGAATAAAACCAGGTGCAATGAAGTTGATCCTCTCAACTGCCTGGCTCACTAGCATAGTTGGCTAAACCGGATTGCGCGGTGACCGGGTGACGAACTCCTTGTGGTCCGGGTTCACGCCTGGGGGTAGGCAGAAAAGCCACATTTCTCCCAGATTTACGGTATTTATCATGGAATCAAGGCCGAAGGGTTGCAATATCCATAATACCAAGCCTAAGGGTTAACAACTCATGGCTTCTGGATACTCAAAACCAAAATTCTCTCAACTGTAACCTTTTAACCTTTACATAACACATAATATAACGAATAACATAACCCTTAGGGTCATGAAGGTGTATTGATGGAAGAACTAGCACATAAAAGCTGTCATCTTTCTCTGTCTTCTGGTTGTTGAACAAGTGTATAAGAACTTAGTCCTGTCCATTTCTTGATGTTGTCATTGCAGCTTCTTCTTTGCCCTCCTCTTCTTCGACTAACCTCCAATCTTCATTGAAGTACATACAGTCTTTGCAATTGTATCATGTCTTGAAACATGTGCCTGAAACAAGCTAGCTTGAGACATTTAACAACTGCCAAGAGAAGCTCCTGATGTCGTGCACATTTGTTCATTTTGTCTCTAACATATTTGTTAGTTTTGTGTTGTAAGAGGGAGCATGGTCAGAGTGCTGTGATGTTGGTGTTGAATGATAAGTTTTGAAAATTATTAAAGAATCTATTTCACAAAAACTTACTTTGCTTCTTAAGATGAAACTTCAGACCTCTTTCTTTGGAAAGATCCGGTAGACTATCTGTGTCCGAGTCATGGTCATTATCTCCAGTTTTATTAGTTTCAGTTTCATCTGGTTGTTCAGAGAAAAGCTCATCATCAATTAACTCAATCTTATCGCCAGAAGGCCCTTGAATGTGCTTAGATTTTGGTTTCCTGAAAGTAAAACAGGCTATGACTACACATGACAGACTTAGTTTTAAAATATGTTTTACAATATCAAAAAACTGAGAAATGCAGTTAACTCAATGTACCATTTTATTTTTGCTTTCCAAAGCTCAAATCTAGCATTTTCTCTTTGCATGACTTAGATACTGGATATTCAATGAATTGTTAAAATAACCACTGTCTAAAATGTCTAAAAAACACTCAAAGTATGCAAAACAATGGTTTTTTTAAAAACTTGTTTTTAGATAGTAACAATAATTTAGTGATTTAGAATACCCTACAAAATTTTGTCAGACCACAGAATAAAACCCTCTTCTTCTTCTCGGTTCACCACAGTAAGCTCCAGCAGAAATCCCTAGACGTTCATCCATTTGGACTTTGGCTGTGTGCTAGGGCCTGAGTTTTGCATGTACATCCATTTCACTGGCCTATTTGTGTTCAGTTTATTCCTTACCTCTCAGGCAAATTTACTCCAACTTTGAAGAAAGCCCCCAATTAGTCGACTCCTGTGACATGCTTGTTTGGGCGCAGTGGGTCCGTTCTTGTTTTATTTTTACAATGGGGTCCAAGAACCCATACGGGGAAATTCTTCTTTTCATTAAAATAGACTATCTATATTTGCAAAGTTGTCTCTAGTATGAATGGGGAAATGAAAACCCAAATCAGTATTATTAATGCCTGTATTTGCAACTTTTTAGGGTTGTGTAGAACAGAGACGGGGCGGGGGAGGCATGGGGGTCTTGAGAATGAGAATTTAAAGTCACCATAACTAGTGCATTCCCCCACCCCCACCCCCCCCCCCCACCCCTCCCCTTACCCGGGACAGAAAAAAATCTATCACCTCCTCAAGGATTTGGACCTTGGTCTCACAAATGAGAGCCCAACCTTCATAACTGCTTGGCCAGCTTCTTCTCAGATTACATTACTGAACCTAAGATTACATTATTGAACCTAAGATTACATTACTAAACCTAAGATTACATTACTGAACCTAAGATTACATTATTGAACCTAAGATTACATTACTAAACCTCAGATTACATTACTGAACCTAAGATTACATTATTGAACCTAAGATTACATTACCAAACCTCAGATTACATTACTGAACCTCAGATTCATTGCTAAATGAAATTACTGAAGATGATTATTTATTCAGACAATAAATTATAACCTGTAAAAAAAGATAAAGTCTGGAAACATAATCTAAGAAGGAGATGTGAGGGTGTATTGGAGAAGAAGAAGAAGACTGCAGTTTGGATAAATTAGGGATGCGAAAGATAAACGACAAATGACAGCAACAAAACATCTGACTTCTAACAAACATTTTGAAAGACTCTTATGGGACACTGTGGTGCACAGAAAAAACTGATGATGACTCACTAAATCGAAAATATGAACGGATATGTATAAATAGTCAATATTATGTAATTTTTAAAAATAACATACATTCCAATACCCAAACCCAGCTCCTTAATTTTGGCCTCGATCACAGTTTCAAGTTTAGGTACAGTTTGTAGTGAGAATTCCAGTATAAACGCTTCCAGGATGAAAGCAGTGAAGATACTGAAATAAAAAAAAATAAAAAAGTGACAATTATAATATAAAGTGGCAGCAAGATTTTAAAACACAACTAAATAATTAGTTTGTGATTACTGGGTTCATTTTACATTTCCTGGCCCAGAAAGAGAGTAATTTCCCTTGCCATTCATGCCTCATCAGGTTGAAGGACCTCTCCTATGTTGTGGGGGTGTCAAGTTTTCCTTATTGTCAATGCTTTAACTATTCCTTCTTTTCTCCTCTTCTCACCTCTTGCTTGCGTGATTATTTTCACGTTCTGCTAACTGCGTGACGGTTTATTGATTATGGAAAGCAATATTTTTCTATTCCTATGTTCCTTTTAAGTGCTTTTTTTCTCTTGAGGGGAAGCCACCACCAGCGAATGTAGAAATACAAAAACATCCCAGTTTCGATACTCAAGAATTGTCGCACCTGCAGTACTTCTTACTTGTACACAGGCGCATGCGGTGCATGAAATAGACTTACAACAATGCAACCTCCCACAAACATTATATACACAGAGCAAATGCCAAACCAAACCATATCATAACACCCCTTCAACATAGGAGAGGTTCTGCAACCTGATAAGGCATGAATGGCAAGCGAAGTCACTCTCCTGATGGTCTGGGAAATGTAAAATGAACTGATTATTGATACGAGATCCTAATTGAAAAATATTTGTTGACAAGGTGTTATAGTTCGTAGATAAAGCTTCCAAACTGTCTATAAAGTATTGAAAAGATTAGTATTTTACAATTAGGTAATCACAGTTTCAAATTCATAGTAAATGAGTCACCCCAGGGCTGCTCCATTCCTGTATCAATGAAACCACACAGAATGTCTATCACTGTCCCTTGTACGAAAACTGACACTGACTGTAGTGAATCCAATAGCATACAAATGTATTAAATGCATAACTAGCTGTCAGAAGTGCTAACACAAACAATCTGACACTAGAACTCAGAACTGGTACAAATAATCTGATCAAAATGAGAGCTGCCACCTTCGTCTTCTTCTTCTTCTTTTTCTCTTCCACCTTGTACCTCTCGAAGTGGGGGGGGGGGGGGGGGGGGGGAGATGTAATGTACGTTGATGAGCTCTGTCAAGAGCACTATTAAGACTGATGTTCATTTCTGTAAGGCTGTTCTTAATGCCATCACTCCATATTTTCCAAGGTCTTCCACTCGCTCTATACCCGTTGTAACGTTTTAGTGTGGCTCGCTGTGGTGGATAGTACCAGGGCATTCTTGTTAGGTGTCCAAACCACTTCATTTGTTGTTCTTTGATGACCTGTACGAGCCGCCACCACCTACACATAACACACATGATGATGATGATCAGGGCTTTTTCCCTAGAAAAGAAGGTGCTGGTATTCACCATAAAGTTTCTAAAATGTGTCAGTACTCAGCATAAAGTGTCTGTTACACTAAGTAAGAAGTCAAAGCAAAGGACCCTTTCCACACCTTAATATATGTTTGTAGGGTCTATTACAGTAGCGCTGAATTTAAAAAAAAAAGGTGTTGGTACTGCATACCATTGTGTTGGTACTGCACACCATTGTGTTGGTACTGCATACCATTGTCTTGGTACTGCATACCATTGTGTTGGTACTGCACACCATTGTGTTGGTACTGCACACCATTGTCTTGGTACTGCACACCATTGTCTTGGTACTGCACACCATTGTCTTGGTACTGAATACCATTGTCTTGGTACTGCATACCATTGTGTTGGTACTGCACACCATTGTCTTGGTACTGCATACCATTATCTTGGTACTGCATACCATTATCTTGGTACTGCATACCATTATCTTGGTACTATATACCTTCAGGCATATAGGGCTAGAACTATATTTTATAGACCAATCAGCACTCGGAATGTAGTCAGTATCGTGCTGGCCGCCTTTACTTCCCAGGACTGCACCTGGTACCCATTCAAGGCTGGGCTGACCTGGAAGTCAAGGTCATTTTTGAGGGAAAAAGTCTTTGGCTCCATCAGGACCAGAAGATGATCAATTAACATGTTTTATGTTAAAGTTATTAGGAATAACAAAGCACAGTTACTTACTTCAAAACAATGACAACACAGCAGACATGGAAGGCATAGAAATATATTCGAGCGGCTTTGTTGGTGACAAGAACAAATCCGGAGGTAATGAGTGCAGCAAAGTTAAGGAATAATCTGACTTTTTGTAAATTATATTACAATAAACAAATTCTAATTATATTTGTGGGAAAAAAATATATATCAACACTTGACACAAATAAACCTCAAAACTTGGTGATAATTGGCAGCTTGAAAGAAAGAGAGCCAAGGTTGGAGGCAGAACGAGAGCACTGACTTGATGACAGATGATTCTGGTGATTATGTTGGGGGGATGGTACAACATGACAGCCTACATTTATCCATAGGGCACATGATTGTGTTTTCTGCTATTTTTTCTTTGATTTGTCTATTATTTATTTGCAGATTTATTGCATTTTAAACCACATTCTTTTGTTTTTCATTTTTTTTTTTTACTATGTGCTTCCTTCTCTTTAAATGTCAGAGAGAGAGAGAGAGAGAGAGAGGGCAAGAGAAAAGGGGGAGAGAGACTGATGTGAACTGGTGTGTGAAGTATTTATCATATTTTCAAAAAATGCCTTTAGAAGCATACTTAGCCACCACTTTTTTCTGGTACTACTGAAATCCTTCATTTACTTCCTTGCCTATTCCTCTGCACTGCCAAGATTGCCTAACTTATGTTTGCTGCTGAATTCATGTGACTTCAGTCCATCAGAATGTCAGGAATCAGTCCTCATGTAAAATATTTCACTGGCTCTGTCTGAGAAAAAAACTAGTTGAACTCCCAACAGCACCTCCTAGCAGAACAGTTCAAGAAGCCAGCGGTGCCTTCTCCATGACCACAAGCAGCATGACGATGGAGGTGATGGGGGTGACAAAAGCTTTCATGTGGCTAGAATCACAGGACTATTCCTGTTTGTGTGTGCTGAGTGACTCTCTGAGCATGATCCGGCGGGTCGAGGCAGGCTGGTTATGCAGACAGTGGTTTGAGACATTGCAAAACTCTCCTGTGTGGGCAGTTGCCTTCATATTTGTTCATATGTGTTTATTTTCCAATGAAACAGTCTTTTTATGTACTCACTCATTTGAAGATCCAGTGCTTTTTGCCAGCTGTATGTACTAATACATTTTTTTTTAAAGGCATTTTTGTTTAGAGCTACTGTAATAGATACTTTGTGTAAGTATCAAAAATCTTTTTTTTCTTTATGCCCACTGCTTCCTAACAAGCAAAACTAATTAAGGGAGTGTCTTTCAAAGTCGAAGGGCATCTGCCTGAAAGGTGAAGAACCAACAGTCTGCTTAAAAATAAGAGAGATCTGTAGAATGGATGTGCAAGCAAATGTTCTGGAACCACTCAAGTCCAGAAGTAGGCAAACGACCAGAATTTTCCACCAGAGTTTACAGCCAGTGAATGCCATGTTGAAGATGATGATAATAACCACTGAAATGAAGTAGATCTTCTTGCCTAAAAAACATCATAAACAAAATTTTACAAGAAAAAATTTATGTCTAAAGTTAAATACTTCAACAATAATTTAAAAAAAAAGGATATTGTGCCAATTATTCACCACTGTCAGCTCAAACATAAGCACCATAGCCTGAGCAAAATTGTTGAAATTGTTTTTGCAGTAGCGATTCTTATAAAAGTCAGAGTTATTTAATCTGACATTTCCACAGAACAAAGTTGTGCTATCCCCATGGTTATCGTAACCATAGTACTTTATGTATCCACCAAATACTTCAATCCCAATTAGGGCAAAGAAATAGTAAAACACCTGCACATTTTGAACGAAACAAAATTATTATACTTGCAATCTGTAAATATAAAAAACAAGATGAACAAGATATTACAGTCTATTCAAAACAGAGAAAAAAGTTCAAGTCAAAGTTCAGCAGAGGCCATATGGGTTATCCAGGTATTTGTCTCTTTGTTTTTGTTTTTCTCTTTTAAGTTTGCCAGTTGTCATCAATTTTTTTATTTTGTTCTTTTCATTCCATGTCCAAATGTACCATATGTTCTATTGAAGTTATGTTTGTTGCTACTCTGAAGCTGTCTGTTTTCATGCAACTACTGTTGTATATTCATTAGAACACAACTTCTCCTTCAGCAATCTGAGCACTAGAGGTTCATTACTATAGATATCATCTGCCTCCATTCACCTCTTGGATTTGCCTTTTCTTTCCAGTTTGTGACTTCAAGTGTTTGTACATCTGCAGGAATATTTGTCCTCTATTTCTGACCATATGTTATCTACCATTCTCTCAATCATTGAAGTTTATTGACAATGTAAGTAATTAGTGGTGATTTAAACAGATCATTAATTTAACTGTTGATTTTCACTTTCCATTCTTTGCTGTCTACATATTTTGATGGATCCACAAATATAAGACTGTTTTCAAAAGCTATTAGAACACAACAGTCATTTAAAATGGGGTAAAAAGATATTTAAGTGTTTAATAACAGAAAAAAATGTATGGGGTACATCAACAGAGAATGTGGAATAGAGACAATATGTAGGACATATTAGGTAGAGTGTCAGGGGAAGATAGTAAAAGTGTAACAGGAAATTAAAACAGTTAAAAAGCAAATAATAAAAGAAGTTTTATAAAGATATTAAATACGACTGGAAATTCATGACTGCCAATTTAGGAGCAGGTCCCTGAAGAATACGATAATAAAATAATAAACTGATATCAACAGTTATGAGACAAAGAAAATCGTACTAATTTTTGGTGTATAATAATTTAAAAAAAAAAGCAAGCAGAGAATTACAAAATAGTCACTGAAATGGGAGAAATGGATTGAGGAAATAAGGATGTCCAGAGAAACCCTAAAGCAAATGTTGATGAGAGAGGTCAAAGGTACTCGACTGGATTCCATCCATAATATCAAAAGGATTGCCCAAGGGAGAATATAATGGAGGAATAGATGGCAAATCCTATTTGACATGTAAGTGCATGACAGGATGTTAATTCAGATGTCAAAAAATACAAGGATAATACAATAATATAATGGTGAGACAGTAATTATACAAGTCAAACTTTACGGGTTGCTAAGTGAATTACAAAAGACAGTGAAGTTCATACTAGAGACAACACTGCAGATATAGAAAATCTATTTAAAGTGAATGAAAGAAGTATAAGAACTAATTATACTTTCAGAGAAAAAAGAACACTGTTTAAAATGGTCAAAATACGCAGGAAATTCACTTGTTAGTAAAACATATTAACTATAGGAAATACATGTTTAAAAAATTTGTTATTTGATGTTTTGTTTCTAATGTTTTTTTTAATTATTTCAAATGAGTATTTGAAAAAAAAAAAAAAAATATGAAAATATAATTTATGAATGAAGTACATACAAACATAACACCTCCATAAATAACAATAGATGGCCCAATGTTGATCAGGGTTTGAAGAATCACTTTAAACCTGAAACATATGATAAATAAGCAATAAACGAAAATGTTGCCTACAAAAAGGGGGAAGTGGGTGGGGGCAGTACTGAATACTGCTGCACACCACCAGGAAAACAAAAGTTCTGGTATAGACTAATTCAAGGTGAAGGGTGATGAAAGAAACCAAAGCTTCTGGACTGGATTCCATCCATGATATTGAACTGATTGCACAGGATCAAACGGAATAGAGAAATAGTCTGATGGTCCTACGTGACATATTATGGCCCCATAGGACAATGAATGATAAGACCAATCAGCACTCCTGGTCTGGTTGTCTGAACCCTCAAGAACATTTCAGGGTTTTGATTGGGTTGACCTGGGACCTGAGCCAAAGAAAAATCTCTAGGCCAAAAGGGATTTCTGAAATATTATCTGTCTATTTTATAATTTCCTTTTTCCTGGAATGGTACTAAGGGCTTTTTTCTTAATATTTAATGATCATCATCAGCCCTTTCTTTACTATTTAGCTATTGTCTGTCTTTAGGATACCCCTCAGGAACGAACAAACGAACGAAGATGAATTGAGGTCTTTATCACAGAAAGCTGAAAGAGACTTAAGTGTGATACCTGACCTTGACACAGACTTAATTGTGATACCTGACTTTGACACAGACAACTCTTTGAGTCCCAGGCGGTTTAGCATCACAGGCCCAGGGAGTAGTAAATAGAGTCATAAAATCGGTGCATCTTCAGTTCACTGGGCTTCTAGGTAAAAACGTATGATGCGTTCCTTGGGACTCAAAGAGTTAAGTGTGATACCTGACCTCGACACAGACTTAAGTGTGATACCTGACCTTGACACAGGCTTAAGTGTGATACCTGACCTTGACACAGACTTAAGTGTGATACCTGACCTTGACACAGACTTAAGTGTGATACCTGACCTTGACACAGACTTAAGTGTGATACCTGACCTTGACACAGGCTTAAGTGTGATACCTGACCTTGACACAGACTTAAGTGTGATACCTGACCTTGACACAGACTTAAGTGTGATACCTGACCTTGACACAGACTTAAGTGTGATACCTGACCTTGACACAGAATTTCTGTGTTCAAAATTGTTTTGCATTTACCCCCATTGAGAGCACCTGCCGTGGTCTGTGGATCTAAAGGTGATGGGTTCAAATCCAAACAGAGCTTGACTTTTTTTTTTAAAATCAGGTTGACCCCCCAGCGTGAAACGGGTACCAGGTAAAGTGCTGAGAAGTAAAGGGCGGCTGGTGTGATGTTGACCACATCAACCACAGAGTGCTGATTGGTCTATAAAACATAGGTCTAGCACTATGTGCTGAATAAGCCTGAAGGTTTTAAAAATGGGTCCTTTACCTCCAGTCAGCCAGCTGGGTCTTGAGCACAAGATCATAAAATACATGAAGACTTATGTAGTTTTAAAATAAATAACAACAAGAACATGGAGGGGGTTAGCTCATGGGTATACCAGCACAACCGTTTAGGTTTAATTGCCTGTTGTAACTAGAATCTTGTCCCTGACCGTCAAATTCTGGTGTCTGCCCAGTTTCATACACTGGCTAAAAGAAATGTCCTTTGAAAGGGAAGTCACAAGGAAGATACTGACCTTATAACCCTTTCTGTAACATACAGCCCTAAAAACGCTAACACATCTTCAGTGTGCCCTAATGTCATTCACATTAGCTTGTGTCATGTATTACCAATATTGCAAATTCAAAGCCATGAGGGTCTCCATTGTGAAGTGGTCGACTTTTGACTTGTGCTTTGAATGACTGCATTGTCCAGTTCATAATAAGTGCTGTTTTTTATGAAGATCCCTGAGAATCATCACTGGAGCTACAGAGTTTGTGCTTTTTGCAACACTCTCAGCAGGTGGCTGGCCATTCTGCAGAGACAGACAGAGCCATATAGGATAACCATCATCATAATAACTGTCCTGTGGTACCATTATGTGTTACATAGGGCTGGCAGTCAATTACTCTGTTCTGTAGTATCCGGTACAATCCTTTCAAAATCTTGATTGGAATTCTGTCAGTCCCTTTGGCTTCTTTCATCAACGTTCAACGTTAGGGTTTCTTTTGGATGTCCTTGACTCTACAATCCTTGTATTTCCAATTTTAATGCCTGCCTGGTGATTCTTTGCCCGCTTTTTCTTTTCTCAAAAGGTGTCCAATATAGCACCATATTGTTTGTCCTATAACTGTTGTTACCATTGGCTGTCCAGACATTTCTCTTATTTCTTCATCCTTCTTCAATTCCGCCCATTTTATTGTAACATTTTCCTCAGGCATTTTTTTCAAATGCATGATAATGCTTTCGCTCCATGTCTTTAGTGTACTATCATTGGCATAAGTTAAACATTGAAATAATTTCATAACTGAAAATAAAAACAATTTTAAAACTAAACAATTTCATCATCATCATCAATTGCCTTGCCGACTGGCATGCACGATCATGCCTCTCCACAGTATGTGATCCGCAACATGCGTGTATCAGTATGTGTGCTAACACTCCTCCATGTCCTGACAAAAGGCTATCAAGAATCTTCTCACACTGTTTTCCTATGTCTCTCTTGCCGCAGATCTTTCCGGTAGTCACAACATTTTTTCCTCCTCTTCTCATAATGACTAAAAAATGATGAGTGTTTCTGATGTTTGTGATATGTTGTCTTCAAGCACTCGCCTTTTTTCAAAACATCTGGTTGCTCTTCTAAGCTGTCCAAGAATTCTTTTGTAAAACCACATCTTTAAGGCCTCAAGATATTGTTCGGCTTGTTTATTAATTGCCAAGGCTTCACAGCTATACGTTGAAACTGGCTTTATATAGTATGCAAGAATTTTTTTTCTTAACCTTCAATGACATTGAGGTATTGTACAATCTTCATTTTATAAAATGCAGTACATTTTAACACTTTCTACCACCACCGTATCTATCAATTCCTGTAGTTCATTCTGACTTATCACTATCAAGCCGGTGTCATCAGCATAGCCTAATGTTTATGTTATGACCAGTAACAACAATTCCTGTAGTTCATTCTGACTTATCACTATCAAACCGGTGTCATCAGTATAGCCTAATGTTTATGTTATGACCAGCAACAACAATTCCTGTAGTTCATTCTGACTTATCACTATCAAACCGGTGTCATCAGCATAGCCTAATGTTTATGTTATGACCAGCAACAACAATTCCTGTAGTTCATTCTGACTTATCACTATCAAACCGGTGTCATCAGCATAGCCTAATGTTTATGTTATGACCAGCAACAACAATTCATGTAGTTCATTCTGACTTATCACTATCAAGCTGGTGTCATCAGCATAGCCTAATGTTTATGTTATGACCAGCAACAACAATTCCTGTAGTTCATTCTGACTTATCACTATCAAACCGGTGTCATCAGCATAGCCTAATGTTTATGTTATGACCAGCAACAACGATTCCTGGCATGTCCATGACAGATCTCATTACATATTCATTGTATAATGAAAACAAATCAGGTGACAGTACCCATCCTTGTCTTACTCCTGTCTTTATGCTCTGAAATTTTCCCAAATGGTTATTAATTCTTATAGCTGCTGTTTGCTGGTCATACATTCTTTATTTATAATTCATAAATCTTTTCCATCAATGTTTAACTTTTTCAATAGTTTGATTATTTCTTCATTTTTGACACAATCAAATGCTTTCGTATAGTTCTAATTTAGAGTTAACTTTCTTCAGGTTTTTAAAAGCTGCTGATACCCTGATAATGCTTGTCATATTTTCTTTCTTTCTATGGGATAACCAGTGCAATGAAACTGCTCCTTCCAGTTTAACTTAAACTTAATAAACACAAGAGTCACCTTTTAATGCTGCCAAATATCTTGATCAGTCTCATCACCCTCAAGACAAGCAAGATGTCCAAAATACTCCGCTCATCTTCAGCTGTAAAAAGTGTTTGAAAACAATACAGTGAATACTTTTATTTACTGATTTAAGAATCGACATCATAGCATATAGACATACCCACAGGTGCTCCGTCTCCCGCAGCAAACGTATGTAGATGCTAACTGTTTCTGTAGCACATTTAACTCAAAGTCTACTATGTTTTCTTCACTTCCTCTTTCACTGTTGCAGGTTGAAGCAGAAGTCAAGCCTTAGTTCTTGCAAATTCTGCGGATGGAGGTGCAATTATCTACACTGACATAGTTCCTGGGTTTTCATGGTTCTGATCAAATTAAAAACTGTAAAAGAAGATAGAGAGGCTTTTGCCTTGACTAGAAGTAGTCTTACTATGGAGGTGATGGCGGTAACAAAAGCAATGCTTTGACTAGAGACACAGGATTTTTCACATGCATGCTTTCTAAGTGATTCCATGAACATGCCTGAGAAGATAGAGACAGGATGGATTCAAAGAAAATGGTTGGAGTCACTGAAGAAATCTCATCTGAAAGGAATTAGTGTCATTTTTGTCCTAGGACACTCTGGGGTAAGAGGGAATGAACGAGCGAACTGGCTTGCTGGCAGGGCCACGGTAGGTACAGGAAAAGCAATTAACATTCTCAGTTCTCTCATGGAGGCAGGATGAGAAGATGATTCAGAAGATGACAATGAATTGGCAACACTCAAAAGACTACAAAAACTGCAGGTCAAAAGAGGTGTCACCAAACAAAAAACACTATATAGGTAGCCAAAGAAGAATAGTGAACCAACAAAGAACTGGTGTTATCAGTCGCCACACGCTGGGGGATATACTGAAGATGGGATCCAAGCTTTTATGGTGTTGTGTCGTATGGCAGTTTTGTCGCGCACCTTACTTACAGGATATTTTCACAAATTCCTCAGGTGCTCTGAGACAGGAGAGTTTTGAATGGTGGCTCTCGTTCGTCTAGAGGCCTAACCCTCGGTTCAAACTTTCCATTCAACCTGTTTCAGGGATGAGGTGACACGAGCTCTGACTCCACAGGGTTTTTATGAACACTTGGGTACCTCTCGGCCAGACGTCCTCACCACTAATTGCCCCCAGACTGGAAAAAAACAAGTCCAGTCGAACAAATAATCAACAGCGAATTTGACAAGACAACACTGCCTCTCTGAATAAGACAATAAAATTCAGTAACACGAAACTTTTCTATCAACTAGAAGACTACTGAATTTCATCACGATTGTAATTAATTTACTATAACAAAGTTAAGGGAAACCGTAGCGAAGAAATAAAAAGAACGATCACAACTTTAAAAATCTAACACAAGAGAAAGAATTAGTCTAAATAGACCTATAGACTATCGTGTTCATCACGGCGAAGGAGAAAACATGACCATGAAGGCACATTTGGAGACGAGTTATCTTAGTCTGCCACGTCACTTATCTGATCAGATCTCGTAGCTCCTCAGCGTCTCAGAGTGGAGTAATACGCCACCGTACTTTACTGCACGGTTACACAGGAATGAATCAGCTTCTCCGGATGCCGAAAAGGAAACTCTCTCTGCCGTACTTCCCAGTACGACCACACATGAACGAATCAGCTTCTAGTATTAATCAAGGACTGTCGCCTCACTTCACCGGAATGAATCAGCTTCAGGTGCGGATCCAGGAAGCTCAGGTCACTATTGAGGGACTCCGGCATCCGTGTCGTCCGCACATTCAACACCGTAATTCAGCATACGTAAAACGTTTACTGGGTCGTGGCAGTTGGAACCACACTATCAAACGTAGACACTTGTTGGATCTTCAGAAAATCCTGAAAAACGTAAAGTAACAGACATGAGCGAACCGTACTCAACGTACCTATTTAATCAAGGTCCTTACTTCCTCCAAATGCTCAGATATATTTTAGGTTATTCCAAACCATGAAGGTTGGTTACCTCAATCCTAGAATCCTTTTTGTTTCCTAGAGTGAGCACTAGATCATTAACTCGAAGAGTTCCTGGATTCAGTTCTGTGGCAAAGGTTAGACAGATCCCCATTATTTACTGTCCCTTCTAACGTAGAAAATAAGGGATCGGCGATGAAGTCAAAACCAAGACCTACTGAAATATGTTATGAAAACAATACGACAGTCGAAGCTTGTTGTGGTTACGAAATCACCTAGCAACAGCGGACATGACGTCATGTCTGCCCATAAGCTTCTTGTCGTTCAAAACCATTCAGAGACTTACCAAGTTCTGATACCGAATACTAGCAAATAATTAATAATATAAAGTTATCAATACTACAAACCCACTCCAGATATGTAGATTGATTGAATTGAAAAGGTTTAAAAGGCCATTTCAAAGCATTCTGCGAGAAATGTCAACCGAAAGTGCATTCCGATCTGGAGCTCCTTTCGCCACCTTCCTTGGCAAGAATCGTAGGAAAACAGATTCGCATTATCCAGCTGCTGACCTTACTTACCTACATCACAGACAGTATGAACTTACATATTCAATTAAAAAGTCCTTAAGAAAACTCACCCATTGTAAATAAAAAAGAGAACAAGGAATCTTGTCTGTATAACGGTCAATTGGCGAGACACAAGGAAAAACGCCTGCCTCCAAGACCGGACTGTAGAGAGTGACGCACACAAACACGTCCCCTAACAACAGCAGTTAGCGTACGAATCGCGCTCACTAATGCAGTGCAGTGGTCAGACAATTTATTTAGAATAGGCGTAGAAAAGGCGTCCTAACATTTAATTCGACACTCAAAGCCTAAAAGAGTCATTATCAAAGGGTTTTATAGGTTGCCCTATTAAAGAAAATTATTAAGCAGAGACAGCTAAGGAATGGATGAAATAACCGGAAATATCATGACAAGACCAAGGTCTGAAATACTTGATAATGATGATAAATTATCTGTTCATAGTCTCAACATTGTATAATTATACTTACTATCACCAATGATTTTTTCAACTATGGACGCCACAAACGCTGCTCCAATCACTAGAAGATCAAACCTGCAAAAATAAACATAGATGAAAACTTCCAGCTGCACTATGCAAACTGAAAACACCAATGTAAACTCATCATCATATAGAAAGTCATTTCCAGAATGTTCATCATCACCATCATCATCATCAAGTGCCTTGCCAGCTGGCATAGGCTTTCATGCATCTCCACAGATCTCAGTCTTTGGTGTTCTGGGTCAATTCCACTGATAATATTCCTCCATGTACCTGCCTCAAGCCATCCAGCATCATTTCTCTTGGTCTGCCTCTTCTACCAGTGATTTTTTCAGTCATCGTGATATTATCCACTGCTCCTCATTGCTTAACTAAAGAACTTTGTCTGTCTCCTTCTCACTATTGTATAAAATTTAATAGTAGAATGTTGCAAGTGTTTAACAAAAAATATAACTATAAATATTGAAAAATAACAGTTTTAATATACAAGTATGAATGTTAAATGTTGAATTAAGAATCAACATCATAGCAGTTGGACACTCCCATAAGCACACTGTCCCCATCTTCAGCAGCAAGTGAAGAGTTCCAATTCCGATAGCACCAGTAACTGTCTGATTGTATATCCATTTTCCCTGAATGTTGAGCTTCAGCCAGATCCCCTGGTAACTTTTCTAGTAGCTGTCATTGTATATTTTTCTCACTTCTCCCCTGAATGTTGAGCTTCAGCTAGATCCCCTGGTAACTCCTCTAACTGGTAGCTGTAATTGTATATTCCTCTCACTTTTCCCCTGAATGTTGGGCTTCAGCCAGATCCCATGGTAACTCCTCTAACTGGTAGCTGTCATTGTATATTCGTCTCACTTTTCCCCTGAATGTTGGGCTTCAGCTAGATCCCCTAGTAACTCCTCTAACTGGTAGCTGTCATTGTATATTCCTCTCACTTTTCCCCTGAATGTTGAGCTTCAGCCAGATCCCCTGGTAACTCCTCTAACTGGTAGCTGTCGCTGTATATTCGTCTCACTTTTCCTCTGAATGTTGGGCTTCAGCTAGATCCATTGGTAACTAATCTAACTGGTAGCTGTCATTGTATATTCGTCTCACTTTCCCCCTGAATGTTGGGCTTCAGCTAGATCCATTGGTAACTAATCTAACTGGTAGCTGTCATTGTATATTTGTCTCACTTTTCCCCTGAATGTTGAGCTTCAGCTAGATCCCCTGGTAACTCCTCTAACTGGTAGCTGTCATTGTATATTCGTCTCACTTTCCCCCTGAATGTTGGGCTTCAGCTAGATCCATTGGTAACTAATCTAACTGGTAGCTGTCATTGTATATTTGTCTCACTTTCCCCCTGAATGTTGGGCTTCAGCTAGATCCAATGGTAACTAATCTAACTGGTAGCTGTCATTGTATATTTGTCTCACTTTTCCCCTGAATGTTGAGCTTCAGCTAGATCCATTGGTAACTAATCTAACTGGTAGCTGTCATTGTATATTTGTCTCACTTTTCCCCTGAATGTTGAGCTTCAGCTAGATCCATTGGTAACTAATCTAACTGGTAGCTGTCATTGTATATTTGTCTCACTTTTCCCCTGAATGTTGGGCTTCAGCTAGATCCATTGGTAACTAATCTAACTGGTAGCTGTCATTGTATATTTGTCTCACTTTTCCCCTGAATGTTGGGCTTCAGCTAGATCCATTGGTAACTAATCTAACTGGTAGCTGTCATTGTATATTTGTCTCACTTTTCCCCTGAATGTTGGGCTTCAGCTAGATCCATTGGTAACTAATCTAACTGGTAGCTGTCATTGTATATTTGTCTCACTTTTCCCCTAAATGTTGGGCTTCAGCTAGATCCATTGGTAACTAATCTAACTGGTAGCTGTCATTGTATATTTGTCTCACTTTTCCCCTGAATGTTGGGCTTCAGCTAGATCCATTGGTAACTTATCTAACTGGTAGCTGTCATTGTATATTTGTCTCACTTTTCCCCTGAATGTTGGGCTTCAGCTAGATCCATTGGTAACTAATCTAACTGGTAGCTGTCATTGTATATTTGTCTCACTTCTCCCCTGAATGTTGAGCTTCAGCCAGATCCCCTGGTAACTCCCCGCAGTGACATTCTCTTCAGACCGTTATGATCTATCTGTGCCTCTCTCCAGTACAGGGCCTCTCTGCTTAGCACTAGGACAGTTCCAGTAACCCACTCTTATATGCTATAATCCCTGATGCTTCATTCTTCGCCTGACTCTCAGGGCTCCGGCTCTCCTATTTCTATGCCTTATTCTCTCTCAATGTTCTTGCCATCTCCTCTTCCCACCCTCTCTCTTGCCACCTGACTGAGTGACTTTCTATCCCACCAGAACATCACACTGAGGAATAAATACCCCGTGCCACAAAATTTACTGGATTTACCTCATCAGAATGAAGAGCTGACAGCTTATCTGCAGGTGCTATAAATTCACTGTCTCAATCAATTTGTAAAAAACATTAAAATTGTTCATTATCATTATCAGAATTAGAAAAATTCTAAGTGAAAAAATTTCAGAGCTTCAGCCACAAAAAGGTGAATTTGTTGGGCCTGTGCTTATGTTCAGAACATTATTATCCATGGGCAGTTGAACATGAAATTAGACAATACAGTGTCTGAAAATGATGCTGGCAATGAATTGGATCAATTTGCACCCACTTGTATATGAATAGAGACTTGTATACAAAGAAAAATGTTAGAGTAACCTTCCCTGAATATTTTATTTGTAGTTCCAAACATTAGAAATGAATATAGTGCCGTACACAAATCAATATGTATGGAACACATGATCGATGCTGACATGGTTGTTTGGGAAAATTGGGACTTCTCAACATACACAGCGTTAAGTTGAGTTAAGGGAGGACATGTTTGCAGTGAAGTTGAAACCTAGAGTACTGACTTACAAAGAAGAAAAAGATATCATTATAGTAAAGAAACACAGTAAACATACAGCTATAATAAGATGCATCATTTTGTAGTTAAAACTTACACATTCCAAAAACGTTGAAAGAACTCCTTGCCTCCAAGAGTATACAACTTACAAATAATCTCCACAGCAAATATTGATAGGAAGAACCAGTCAGCATCGTCTAAATCAACAGCAATGAACACAGCATTGACGAGAATCAAGATGTCAAAAATATAGCGGAAAAATCTGAAATATGAAAATTGTAAACTGTTATTTAGAAATAAGCTTCTTGGTTCTTTTTCATCATCATCATCATCATCAAAATCTACTTCTGTCATTAAGCGTATTGGGGAGGTAAAATATGCGATCCAGTACACACTGGCTGTCGCTGGTTCTTATAATCATTAAAAATTCAACTAAAATTTTATTTGAGAACATCTAAAAATATTTCATAACCTAACCATATGAAAGTCAGAGAGCCACTCAAGAAATGGAACAAAAGAGTAATGAATTCAAAAACAAATGCTGAAGAACATTAAGTGGGATGAAGATAAAAAGAGACATGTCTGGACAACTGTTTGTATAATCTGTTGTAAGACAGAAGATCTTGAGAATACGTCAGCAGAAAATCACCCAACAGGCACCTCCATTCATCTATTTATGAAAAACAAAGACACCAAATCTACCACATTCAACTACTGCAGTAACTGTGGTCTGGTTTCTGTGCACCAGTTATGTTGGCTAAGAAATGTTAACTACACCAAAACTAGTAGCTCGGACTGATATTCTAGTACCTAGGAAGGGTTGTTTTGGAAAGGGCTGGTATTAATTTAAAAACACACACACATATATAGACATAAATGTACAATTACATATAGATAACATAACATACACGCCTGCCCGCCCACGTGGGAATGCACATCTATGTTTTTGCACACACCAGCACGTATATATACACACACACACCTCACCCCCACATGTGAATGCATGTATATGTGTACACACTCATATATATACACACATACACTGAAAGAAGCCAGCATGGTATAGGGGCTAGACTCCTGCCTGAGGAGTGGAAGGCCATGGGTTTAGATCCGAAAGGAGCAAGACTTTTTAAATAATTTTTTTTTAAATATATATTTTTAATTTAAATGACCCTAGCACCAAGGTTGACCCAGCCTTAAATGGGTACTTGATATACCCTACAGTTTTTGCATATGTCATATTATTTGCACCTTGGTTACTAGTTTGGATCTTTGGTTTGTATATGTGACACTTTCTCAATATCCATTACAATAAGGGAATAGTTGGGCAATCTTAAGGGATGTTTCACACAGTTTAATTCCTAGTCTTTTATTTCTTACTTCCTTCAGTTCCTTTTTTTCACCTCACCATCTCTGTCTTATCATATCTTTATCTATAGAGAGTTATGCATTTTTGCATGTACTGCAAATGAATTTCTTTATTTTTGTTTCTGTGTGTTTTCAGTGTCACCAGTATGCATTCCTTGGATGCCAAGACTTGCCTGTAACACATAACACTGTGCATTTGCCTTATGCTTTTGCTCTGCATATGGAAGCTTCAAGATTTTGCTAGCACTGATATATTTTTCACTAGTTTTTTAATGAAACAGTGAATGACATTTTATGTGATTCTGCTGGCACATGAGTGGAGCAGTTATGGGGTAACCTACTGCAGTGAAATGGAACCCCAAATAGCAATTAACAATAACATTAATTTCAAAAATGTTGAGTAGTAGTAATAATAATCCAGCCTTGATATTAAATCTATGAAAAATAATTAAAATATATTTACTTATGTCTAACTCCAATCTTGATATATTCACTGATGCGATGATTATAAATCCGTGGAATATGTTTTTCTAGAAATGTCTTTCTGTCTTTCACTTCTGTGAGTGGAACATTCAGGAGGTCTGATACATTTAAGAAGTCTTTCTTATCTGTGAGAAATACAAGTTAAAACAATTGTTAGTAAAAACCAACACAGCTCTTTACAACACTCAAATATTGTAATAATCCTTTCAGAAAGGATGAGAGCTGAGCATCTGAGAAGAAACACACTAACTAAATGTGATGGCAACTCCCCGTGTGGGTTCTGGGGCCCTGTTATAGGGAAAACAAGAATATACCCACTGCCTACCCAAAAGCATGTCGTAAGAGTCGACTAATAGGGAGCTTTCTTCAAAATCAGAGTTTATCTGCCTGAGAGGCAAGGAACCAGCTGTATGTATACAAATGAGTCAGATCTGTAAAACGGATGCACACACAACACTCAGGTTCTGGAACAGGACTACAGTCTAGAAGTGGATGAACAACCAGAACTTTCCGCCAGAGTTTGCAGCTGGTGAATGCGAAGAAGAAGATATGATGTCAACAAAAGTCCTGAAGTCTCATACTCTAGTTGTGGAAGACTTTTCTTAATGCGGGCTCGTCTTCCTAGTCCCACTGGCCATGGTCATAGGCTGTGAGTCCCATGTCTCCTCATAGCGAAATATAACATTATTGTCTGGAAAGACAGAAAGGTGCCAACTAGCTATATTCTAATAATGCTAGCTGCTGCAAAAAACAGCAGTACCAGAGACACTTTAATACGAGACACTTTAAAAAAGCATAGTGAAGTATCTTTCTAACATCATTGATTCAATGGAGAGTGGCTAAGTGAACAATAAAAAATTGACTTTTATGTTACTTGTTCATATTACCATCTGGCACATCGGCCCGACCCATTCTTTCGTCCTCTGCTGCGGCAGCTATCTCAGTATCTCCATGCTCAATTTTCCAACTGGAGTTGATTGGCATATCTTGTTTCTTTGCCCTGCAACCAGTTTCTGCATGCTTGTCTTTGTTTGATAACCATTTCCAACAGGCGGCTCATCATCTCTGATTCCTTCGTTTCACAGTCTCTAGAACACAGCACATTCAGTATATCTGCCTTGTCCATAATTCTTCCTCCACCAGCCCCTGCAGACATAGCCAGTCGGTCTGCTCTTTTTTTTTCCTTTCACCCTGGCATATCCCCAATGTGTACAGCACAACTGCTACTGGGCTTTTATGAGGAGACCTAGATCAAAATCGTCTGAAAGGTTAAAGTTCTTTTTTTTGTTGTTGTCAGGGGCGAAAATAAAGTCCTAATCTGCAAAGATTGTGGCAACAACACTGTCCATGGGACCTAGGACCTCAGACTGAAAGTCCTTCTGCCTAAACCTTAAAAGTGGTAAATACAGAAAGTAATGACAATTTGTTGTTGTTGACAGATCCACTGGACATATGGTGCTAGACCCATATTTTGTGTTATTGTAGACAGGCCGGTTTGGAACTTTCTCATGGATGTCCACAAGAACATTCACAGTAATGATCAGCTAACTTCCTGATGGTTTCCCTAAAATTGGTAACATTTTGTAGATGATGGCATAAATTAGATTACAAGATGCACAAGTAAATGCTTCCTTTATTTAAAACATACTCTTCAGGAAGCCAAACAGTGGGGCCTGGATAATAAATTGACACGTTTTGCATCTACAGCTGGAATAACTGGCATTACCCAGAGGAAGTGTTGTGTGAATCAGTGGTAGTCTGCTTCATTTTTTCTCAACGTATGCTATTCAACACAAGAGTCCTTTCTTCCACCTCCTAATTCATCTTAGCTCTCTAACTATGATTTGAATCAGTTATTTGTCATGCATTTGTTCCTTCTGTGTGGGTGTAATTTAATAAATTTTTGTGGTTTATTAGTTTTTATTTTAGTTGTTCTGCATTTTTCTGACCTTAAAAACAATATTGATTTGACAATAGACTAAAATATTCTAAATTTGATACAAGGATTTATTTATAATTTTATTAGTAGCAAGAAAACAAAATTTTAGTTGGATTACCAAGCACCCCCCCCCCCCCACCCCAACACAAAAAATTTGCTAAGTAATTGGACTCTGACCCAAAAATTCTATTCTGACCCCCCCCCCCCCCCCCCCCCCAAAAAAAAAAAAAACACAATATTGATTTGACACTAGACTAAAATATTCTATGTCTGATGAAAGGATTCACTTAAAATTTAATTTGTAGCAAGAAAACTAAATTTATGATGGATTGCCATGTAAAGGAAACAACTGGACCTTGTAATTCAACTGAACAATCAAACATGGCATGTAATAACATTCTTACTAGGCAACTAATGAAACAATCATCCAATACCTAACACATTTTTATTATTTCTGTCTAAAATCTTCATAAGCAGGTCAGTATAGGCTGCTGATCTGTCAGGCAAGATAATGCCCATCAACTTTTTCCAGCAGCTATGTGTGATTATCTCCTCCTTGCCACGGTGAACTTTTAGAAGGTCAAATGCCCTTGCCAACTTCTTGCGCTTTAGAAATACAGCCTCTTTCACTTCATTCTAAAAAAAAAATACAGTGTCAAAATAAATCTTTATGGCAATCTGCTTTATTTAGCATTAACAATAACAATTATTTTTCAGTATGCATTATGAATGTAGGGAAAGGGGAAAGAAAATGTATTTAAAGAAATTATAAAAAGAAAAGAAAATATAACCAGTGAGAAAAAAGGCATTAGAGAACACTGGGACAACTGTAAAGATCAGTAGTTGGAGAGGCAGACGGAGAGATTATGTTGGATGATCCAGGAGGAATGTCACTAGGATTTTTCCAGAATTCCAAATACCAAGATATGTGCTGAATGTTGAATTAGGAATCGACATCACAGCACTCCGGACATTCCTATAAGTCCTCTATCCCAGTCTTCAGCAGTAAGTGAAGAGTTCCAATGACACCAGTAAAGAGTTCCAGTTCTGATGAAACCAGCAACTGTCTGATTGTATATCTGTCTCGTCTTTCCCTTGACTGTCGAGCTTTGGCTAGGCCCCCTGGTAACTCCTTGCAGCACCATTATTCTCAGACCATAATGATCTATTTGTCCGAGATATGTGGAGAGACTTGATTTGCCTTTACCATTTTGCAATGCCCATGATGAAAATTCATTAAAATATTTTCAGATGATAGTGTTATATTGTGCGACAGCGAGACATGGAAATCACTGCCGTTGGCAAAGACAGGTTTGACTAGATCCACCTGGGTTAAGAAGAGTCTTCCACAGTGAAAGCATGGGATTTCAGGTGGTTATAATTGTCAGTTGCAAAATCTCTATTAGTCTGACATGTATTGAACAATATTGCTAAGTCCAAAATATTGCTTGTCCCTGATTAATCAGTCAGTTTTCTTACTTCATGTCTTTTTCCTGTAGACTCTAAGAAAAGTCAGGTACATAATTATTTTTGTTTATAAATGATACAAAAATCTGGCATCCACTTCTCTTGTTAGATTTCTTCTTCTTCTCTTCCACCTTTTACCTCAGTGAAGTGTCAGGGAGAGATGTAACAATCATTGATGAGCTCTTTCAAGAGCACTATTAAGATTGATGTTCATTTCTGTAAGGTTGTTCTTAATGTCATCATTTCATTATTTTCTTAGCTTTTCCACTCGCTCTATACCTGTTGTAACATTTCAGTGTGGCTCGCTGTGGTAGATAGTACCAGGGCATTCTTGTTAGGTGTCGAAAACACTTAATTTGTCTTTGATGACCTGTAAGACTGGCTTTGTTCCTAACATTCGTCTGATTTCGTGATTTTGTATTGTTTTTCCTTGAAACTCCTGCAGCTCTTCTAAGGCATTTCATTTCTGTTGTCACAATTTTACGTTAATTAGAGGACGTAAGTGTCCACGTTTGGCACAGACGGCATAGTATTGGCCAAAAAATAGTTCTGATAAGATTCACTTTAGTACTCAGGGGTATTTGCTTGTGTGTCAACAGGGGAGATAGTTGCCCCATTACTTTGTTAGATTTCTAATCCACATAAAAAAAATCAAAAATCAAAATGACAAACTAATTTACAACTTACCTGTACAAAATAATGTTAATACTAAGTTATGAGTTAACAGAAGACAAAAAGGCACTCAAATGAGAAATTAGGGGATTGAGGAAGAAGGACATCAAAAAGAAACTCTAAAAAGAACAATGATGATAGACGCCGAAGCTGCTGGTTTGGAATCCATCCATTAACTCTTTGAGTCCCAAGGAACGCATCACACGTTCATTGGTTTCTACCTAGAATCCCAGTGAACGCAAGACTACCCTTTGGGCCTCTGATGCTAAATCCCCTGGGACTCAAAGAGTTAAAGGGTTTGCACATGACAGAAAGGAATGGAGGAATATACTGCGAGCCCTCTGTGACATTTAATGGCAATTAAGAATTCTTCACCTTCTTTTATTATTTAACAAGAACATAAATCCCTGTGTAGACAATGTTAATGCATGTGTATACTACTGGCTTTGCTCAGACTAAAATCTGTGTCAATGATTTTACAAAGAACAGTGATAGGCATTCTTTGTGGTTTTTGCGTGCACAAGAGAGGAGCAACTTTGGGGTCACCCACTGGCTGGGATGCAGCAGCCGTGATTACCTGATTACAAGATCAGACAAGGGTAAACAATTAACTTTTATTAGATTTTGAATAACAGATATCAACTTTCTGGAATGATATCAAACATTATTTATACAGTAAATAATGTTTAAATATTACAATTAAAACAAATTACCTTCAGATTTTTCTTGTAATTATTGTATACTGTTGCCAGTACAATACTCATGAAAATGTACAAACAAATAATGACGTAGACCACAAAGAACAAAGCAGACCAACTATTCCTGTCATAGGCTGGCATCCTGAAAAAATGAATACAACAGTTAGTTAGTTCATATTTATGTTGGATAAAAAAATTATTCTGGATAAAAAAAGAAACATCATGGATGAAGAATCAAAGTGTTGACTAATGAATCAATTTCCTCTTGCAAAACATTTTACTTTAAAATATCATGTCTAACACATGCACATACGCACCAACAAACACATGCACATAGACACACACAAGAGAGATAGAACATACAGTCATAATACCTACATTAATTTGTTGTCTTTCTTCTTGTGCATTCACCCTTAAAAGGGCTGTTGGTACATAGTAGTTTACAGCTAGACTGCAATATCTGTACCTTTTAGCCCTACACATCTAATTTTAGCAAACTCTTAATTAGTCAGCTGTTACTAAGTATTGTTTGTTCGGGGTCAGTGGTGGTTCCAAACCCCCCCCCCCCCCCCCCTCCCTCAATTCTCCTCGTGCCATGGAGGCCCAGAAACTATACAGTTAAAAACTACTTCCTAAAACTGAAATTTAGTACAAGCTGAGAGCTTTATGATAATTATGAACAACTCACACTCATTAACTCTTTCAGTCGCCAGACAGTTTATACCACAAATGTCTAATGAACAAAATAACCACAACAACAAATCATGAATACTATATATTCTATTTTTGTCATCTTTTGTCAGAATCTGCTTCATGCCGCAAAACGCTGCACTTGAACAGATGATAGGTAACTGAACCAGGGTGTGCTCGGTCGCTTGGTTCGCTGTTAAGTTAAAAGTTAAAGTCGAGAGGATCGACTTCACTGAACCAGGTTTTATCCTATATGGCTCAGTCTCTCTCCACACAATGGGTAGCCACCTGCCAAGAGCATCACACAGAGCATGAACCCCGTAGCTCATGCGATGATCCCCAGGGATCTCTTTAAAAATTGTACTCGTGAACTCAAGGGCGCAGCTGCGGAGCGAACACAAGACCTTCAGAGCGTGAGGCAAATGGCTTGACCACTTTGCCATAAAATAGTGAAGTCTTAGGCTATTAGTAACTCCTTCAATCCACCTTCTTCTTGGTCTTCTGATTTTGGCATCTGCATGCTAAGACCTTCTATAATGCCACAGAGTTCATGCACTGAGCTGAGAGCCTTATATGATTTTAAAAAAGGGGGATCAAAGCACCATGACAGTTGTCAAATATGTCAGTTTCATGGCTTATGTATAGTCTGTAAATTATCTGTTACATTCACATACGCATTGTCATTTCAGTCACAAAACACTGTGAGTCACTGGAACACCAGATGCTGATGATTATCTAAACATTTCTCTCCACCCCTGTCCTTCACATGCAATGACTGTTCATTCTGCCAGACTCCATGACCAGATCTTTCTTGGACTACCTCTTCTCTACAAATACTAATAATAATAATAATCAAAGAATTATTTAATATGTGCCTAACATTACAGTTGGCATTTATTGTTTCGTTCCTACTTTCTGGTTTGGTTAGGATTTTGATACAAAACATGAACTATGTCGTTCTGATGAGAATCCTCCGGGTTCTCAGTAACAATTGCCTTCCTGAACTGAATGATGCAACCGTGAAATAAACCCATGACCTTGAAAGTGTGAGGCGAACTGCTTGACCACTTTGCTATGGAGACCCCCTGAATGTGTGTGTGCATGTGCGTGCACACACATGTGGGAGTGTGTGCGTGTGCATGTGTGTGTGTGCATGTGTGTGTGTGTTTGTATGTGTGTGTGGACAGAGAGAGAGAGAGAGAGTGAGAGAAAGATCTTATGTAAGTCAGTAGACTGTACTCACATGACATCAGGACTGTTTGAAGTGGTTACCAATACATACAGATCCCAAACACAATCCAAGTAGTTGTTAAAATAAGAATCTCCATTTGGGTACTTCATGTTCCTAAAAATATTATTTATAAAAAAAGAAAAAAATATGTAGGTTTTGCCTGTCTGTCTGTCCTCATCTGTTGTCTGTCTGTTGATTTGTATGTCTGCCTCTTTCCGTATGTCTGTCTTCTCTTTCTGTGCCTATATGTCTTCTCTCTCTATGCCTGCCCATCATTTCTTTCTGTAATTCTAACTTTCTATTTTTGCCTCTCTCTATTTCTTTCTACCCCACTTACCCCCACCTCCCTCGATGAGATCATGTTGCTTACATTGTTGATTGTTCAACTATTTAAGTGTTCCCCATTAATTTTTCTCCAACTTCACCTGCCTCTCCTTTTTTAGCCAACGCTGCCCCATAAATTCCATTTGTCATATCCTCCAGATTTTCGTGTATGATCCAGGAATATTTTCAGCTATCAGTAACTCGTTGTTTGTATTCTTTTCTGATCACAAAATTCTCAATATTCTTGTTTGAAAAAAAACAACAACCCAAAAACGACATTATTTCTACCTCCAGTGACTCCATCATTTTATTACTTATTGTCCATATCTTGTCACTGACTATCAATTGAAGAAATTACATTATAGCATGTCAGGGATACCTCCTAGATGCTCAGTCTCACACAGCAAATGTGTCTCAAACTGTAGATGCTGATGTTGCCATTGCACGCTGTTACACATGTCATACGCTTTCTCTCAGACATTCTTTCTAGTTGAATCCATATTTATTCATAATACATGCCACCTTACACATGTTGTTTCATCTAATATCCCATCTTCTATCAGTATTCCTTTATAAATGGTCTTCAGAATGTTTCACCGCTTAGTTCCTGTAATGTTGACATGCTTGGTAACCCCCATGCCACTTTTGCACATTTTGTACATCGCACAACACTGTCTGAGAATGAGACACTGGGATTCCTCTGGTAAATCTGCTTTCAGCTATCCACTTCAGAGCTGCAATGATTACCTCCACCTCCACCCTTATGCTTGAAGTTGTAGATACAAAAACACCATATTGTTCTGCCATAATCTTGCTCTTCAGTCTAGTTGAGAAACCCCAGCCAGATTTTCTTACTGATGTACAGGACCGTCGGTAAACACTACAGCATCATTCATCCCAGCATGTGCACATTCTCTTTCTAATGTGACAATGACCTGTTGGGAAATGCTGTTGTGTATGTTCGTGTTGATCCATTCTTGCCCCTTGTGTATTTGCTTGATTGAGGCCAGCCCTGTAGTATCTTCAGCTAGTATTAGCCAAGATTTCCCACTTTTCAATAGTTCTCTTCTGAAATCATTCAGGTTGCAACCCAGTAGATGTCTTTCATGATTGCTGACTTCCATGTAGGCAACAACTTGTGCCAGCACAGACTTAAATCTATAATATTTATATGGCTTCAAGGGTTCCAGCTCTGATTATTTATGGAATGATGTGTAACACAATGGAACCTACCAATCAAATCTCTTTCTTAAATGTTTGTATATTCTTGACAAAGCAATACGGTCTGCTGTGTTTGTAAATTGTTGATGTGTTTGTTATTTGACCAATGCTTCATTAATATAAATTTCTATGGTGCCATTTCAGTAGTTTGAAATCAATTCGGTGTTCACATCAAATAAGAAAAATAGACACAGTTTTTTTAAAAATAGCAAATATTTGAACTGTCATAATATTTATTTTTCAAACAAGGTTGATAGCCCTCATTATATATTATAAATAAGGAGTATTAGTTAATAGCATCAGCTGTTTGGTCAACAGTAATTAAACGCATTGTGAAATCACAACGTCTTAGCTAGGCTATGTTGTGAAATATTTGAGCCTCAAGAGGCAGAAAATTACATTTTGTCAATTTGAATGTTATTTCACTTTTAACTTATGCCAGTTAAATAGGAGAATTAGTAGAGTTTGAACAATAATTAAATACATTTGAAAACAAATGCCTGATGACTGTTGAATAGGACGAGTTCAATAAAGGTGAGGAAATTGATACATGCTTGGGCAACTGCCAGTATCGTCAGTTACAAGACAAATGTCAGTCCCTATTTTATTAATCTACATCTGTCTTTTTTTGTCTCCATGTATTTGAAGATAGCACAGGCAGAGAAACGGAGGTAGTCTAGAAAGAACTGTATCGCTAATCCCACATTTAATGCAGCCTCAATCTGTTGTCCTCACTGCCCAAGAACTTTCCAGGCTCATATTGGACTAATCAGCCACCTTTGTACTCATAATAATTGATCATCACTAATTTGGATGAAAAGCTGTCTTCATCACTTGTGATGGATGATCAACACACATATTTTTTCTTGCCCTGTGGGTTACAGTGCTGTGACACTATAGTTATACTGTTATTACATTTTTATAATGTTCTCACCTTCGATAAAACAACTTGAGAGCCAGTAATGCAAACATGAGCACACTGAGTATAAACAACACAAGAACATTCATGATGTCAGGAATGCTGCGTCGGATATTGCGAAAAGCTCGTCTAATCTGTTTTTAAAAAAAAATACAAATAGTGTATTATTCAAGTTACCGTATTCGGTGTTGGTAGATGTTACACACTAAACAAATCTTCAGCTCTGTATGTGGGGACTGATTCATCCTCGTAAAATCCATACACGATAATTTAAAAAATGTTCTGGCAAGAAAATGAACTGATAAAAGGAATGGCCATCACTAATTATTATGCACTGACCGACTATATGTGATTAAACATTTCATATCCCAAAGCAGAAACTGCCATGGGACTGCCACTCCCTTGCTATGTGAGGTGCTGATTATGTTGTTTGCTTTAGTAACGATATGTCTGTCTCCTTATAAATCATTGATTATGTATTTAACCCATTCACCATATGAACACTTAACAAAGCGATAAAAAAATTAAACTAAAAAAAATAAAAAAAATAAAGGAATTGCTGAAAAATCCTTACCCAAAAAAAAATCATTTTATACTGGTCATTAATCTTCTTCTTCTTCGATCTTTAATGTCAGAAAAAGTTAATAATTAGTGACAAATTAATTTATCTACATTTGTTAATTTTTAAGGAAATATATAAAGATACAAAAAGAAGGTAATCGATGAACATAAAACAGAGTGAAGCATTCAATGAAATGCATTTCCTAGGGCGTAAAACAAATAGTATAGGGTGACTCAAGCCATGACCCTGTGACCTCAGTCACAGAGGTTAATGGAAAGATTGGAGGTCAACATGGCTTGAAAAAAGCCATGGCAGGCATAAGGAAATATCCTTAAATGTTACTTTAAGTTAGTGTGGTCAGCATTACGCCGGCGGGATATGAATCCGGATATTCATATCCAACTGGCGTAATGCTGACCACATTACCCACCTAGTGCCGACGGTCTGTAAAAATATGGGCGCTCTTCCCAAAACCCGATATGCCTAAAGGCGTGAAAAGGGAATTTTACTTTACTTTACTTTACTTTACTTTTATTCATATTCAGGCCTACTAAACGCTGCAGAGAATAAACGGAATTTAACTACACTTTCTGAGAGCAGACGATTGCAGAGATACCGATAGACTGGCATTAACAGTTCTGAATCATAACATGAAGTAACTAGATTTAGTCTTCTCAGAGGGACAATGATGAAGAGGTGGTCAAATCATCAGGTAGCAGCTCAGTTGGTGGGGGAGGGGGGGGGGAGGGTGGGGTCAAAGACAGATTAAGATTATCATGTTAGCCTAATTTTTTTTTCTTTGAATAGACAAAAATTAGGTCAATATTATATTTCTATAACCTCTTCTTCTCTAAACATATGCTAGTACCAGCGACAGATCATGGACATAAACTGCAGAACTGCAGAACCCCCTTTTGTCCCTAGATAATTTAGCCACTCCCTATTTTCTGGTATTCATTGTAGGCCAGGTTTATCTGGGAGTTCAGGTCATTTTAAAAACATCCACTCCTCAATTGAGATTAAAACACATGACAACCAGGATCGGATGTGAGCATGCTAGCCACTGCTCTACCATTGCTTAGATTTTAAAAAAAAATCTCAGAAATTTAAATTCTTTTTTTTTTCTCTTTTTCTAGTACCTGACCCATTTAGGACTGCAGGTGACACCTGGCCGGTGTAACCATTATGGGTGTCCTAATTATAACTTCTGTGGAAGTTAAACAGGGATTCTGGGATTTGCCTGGTTGGTCTGTCATCAAGATTGAGATTTTATAATCTCAGGATGTAATCGTAAAACTCTGTGTGGCTGCCTGAAGGGGACAAATTGATTGACTAATCAATCGATTTATTTATTTTTATAACTGTTATACAAGGTCCGACAATTAAGTAATGAGACTGATTTTATTATGGCCGCCAGATAAGCAGACAACAAACAAGCTGTCATTTTGTTAACTTAGTCAGTGGTGCACTGATACGTAATCAGCATGGAGCACACACACACAAAAAAGCAAACATTAAATTCTGTTCAAATCTTTAAAAATACGCCATTGCGACAGTTGAATTGGTGCGACAAGTTTATAGGGATAATTGTTTATTTCGTGTACAGATTTTTAGCTGGTATTCACGATTCAAAAGTGGTGTGAAAATAATTACTAATGAAACTAGACCTGGACACCTTATTTCTGTTCATCATGAGGAACTCATTGCAAAATTCTGAGAACAGAAACAACAAGATCATTGTTCAACGTAAAGTTTTAGTGAAAGATTTGGGCAAGAAAAAGGTTGCTTGTCGGTTTGTATTCAACACCTGGCGGTTTTTCTCCCTTCTTCCTGACAATGCACCAACTCAAAGGGCGGTAGTTGTACATAAATGTTTAGCCCCAAAACAGATGTGTGTTCTCAACCATCGACCCTATTTCCCAGATTTGTCTCCCTGTGACTATTTTCTATTCCCAAAATTAAAATTGCCATTGAAAGGACGCTTCTTTGACAATACTGATGGCATCCAAAAGGCCGTAACATTGACTTTAAGGGCCATAACTATAGAAAAACTACAGTGGTCATTGCAGTGTTTGTTAGATCATGCCACTCGCTGTATCAATGCTCAAGAGGCTTACTTTGAATAAAATACAGGTTATATCTGCAACTTTTGATTATTTTAATTTGTATGGAATTAGTTTCATTACTTTATTGTTGGACCTTGTATAATATGATTAATTGTTGTTACCATCATCATCCTACTGTCCTTTATACATCAAACAGGGCTTGCAATCAATTTCTCTGATCACTTCTTTTGTGATTCTCTGCTTTGCCACAGAATTTACCCAATATATCTTCTTTGTCTTGAAACTTTTGCTACTCTGAATTCTTCACCTTACTTGAATTTGTCCCATTTAATTTTTCTCAATTTTCGGTATCGCCATCTACATCCTTTTGTGTCGTTTTATTTCACACAGGGCTCATAGCCCATTCTTTCATTGCATTCTATCCAACACTACTGTCTCGATCTCATGGAAGGAATCAGTCCAGTACCTTTGGCCTTTCTCATTAACATTAATTTTAGAGTTTCTTCTGGTCATCCTTGCCTCCTCACTCCATTTATTTTCCATTTCCGTTTAGTGATTCCTTCTTTACTTCTCCGTTTTTCCTTATAACTGTTAATACCATCCACTGTCTATACATTTCTCTGATTTCTTTGCCTATCTTGAATATCACCGACATCAGAAGGAGACAGTCATCATTTTTCGGCCATGTTATAAGAATGGGGAAAATGGAACATGTTGTGACCACTGGAAAGATCTGTGAAAGGAGGGATAGGGGAAGACAACGAGAGAAGATTCTTGACAGTCTTGTTGCATGGCATGGAGGTGTTTCAGCACACGAACTGATACATGCTGCAAAAGATCACAGATTGTGGAGAGGCATGATCGCCCACACCAGTGGGCAAGGCACCTGATGATGAAGATCTTGAAATCACCGTTTTAATGTCTCATTAATTTCCTTGGGCATTTGTTTCTTCAGTGGCTCTCTCACTGACATATGTTTAAACTGAAATTACATTGGAAATGAAAATTTGTAACTTTATTTTAAAACCATTTAATTTAGATTTCCATATTTTGTTAAAGACATTAAATGCAATATTTGGGTGCAGAGTTAGTTTAATGATGGTGGGGTATGGAACATAGATGCTGAAAATACAAATTTGCAGTAAAAAACAAGAGACCGGTGTCAGAAGTACCTGTTTTCCTGCAGGAAAGTTGATAATGAACAAAGGCCTCAAGGGTCTTGACCACCTCACGGGGTGTGTGTCCGGGGCTACGTTGATCCAGATGATGTAACCGATCATGTCCACCATGGTCAGCTGCCATGGAGGTTTTCTCAGTTATTGTACATTTCAAAACTCACACAGTATTTAAATAATGCTGACAGAAACAATAAACCGCACCATTTATTGTCAGGCATGTTTCGCTGTATCTCATCACGTGCATTACTACTGAGTTACGTTAACGTATGATGAAGCACAAAAACTGAATCAATTCCAGTGAAATACACATCATATGGGTAGATTTAATTCAGTGGAATTAATTCAGTTAATATGCTTCCTAATATGTTGATGTCGTCATCATCAGTTCTCGTTATGCCTAGTGGCACATGAGGCTTCAGAGAGGACTTTCCATGCTTTCCTGTCCTGTGCAATCTTCAGTGCAGTTTTCCAAGTCAAAGATGCTGCACTCAGGTCACTTTCCATCGTTCGTCTCCATGTTGTTTTTGGGCGCCCCTGTTTTCTCTTCCCCTCTGGTGTCCATGTGAGAGCTGTTTCGGCAGGTATATCCGAAGTCATTCTCATAACGTGGCCAAGCCATTTCCATCTTCTTTAGTCATTTCCATCTTCTTTAATATGTTGATGTAACTCTGTAGTAACACACCTGACAAGATACAGTGAAACATGCCTGGCAATATATAATGCACTGTTTGTGTCCACGTTATTGAAACTGGCATAATAATTAAGTTAGTAAAGTGTTTCCCAAACTTTTCTTGGTTGCGGCGCCTTTTTACAATTAAAATTTTTCCATGGTGCCCTAACCTAAGTAAATATATGACTATTCGTTTCTTGGTCAAATTAATTATGAAGCTTTTACAATATTTCGCGGTGCCCCTGTAAAGAGGCTGCAGCTCCCTGGTGCACAGTTTGGGAATCACTGAGTTAGTACATGAACCCTTTTCTATGCCATGAAATACGTTTGCTAAATGAGGTAGTCTCAAGTTTTAGATCAATCAGCACTTAAAGCTTATGTGATTATTATCACACTGACTACCTTTACTTCCCATGAAACTTTGCTGGTACCCATTTTAACCTGGGTAAACCTGAGGGACAAAGTCAATGAAAAAATCCCAATCTTGAGGGGGTTGTTGATGTTTGTTGAAACACATGACCAATAAACAGCAGGCAAGTGTTCTCTCATTATTCTGACACAACCTCAGAACCCAGTATTAAAGTAATGAACAATTTCTGGCCAATAACACATTAAGCATATTATGCTAGACTGACAGTTTTTAATATAGAACAATTGATCTTCAATGGGTCAACATCACATCGACCATCTTTACTCCTAAGAACATTTCCTGGTGCCCATTTAGGCTTGGCAGACCTGGGAGTGCAGGTCATTTGTTTCCTCAAAACCGCCTGGTGGCATACAAACTCATGACCTTTGACCAAGCAGGCAAGGTACTAGCCACTAGGTACTATGTTAGAGCAGCTTTCCGACACAATAGCGCTGGTGAAATGTGAAATATTAGCACTTAAAAGTAGGAACAATTTGTATAAAATTGACAAAAGCGACTTTTATGGTTTCTTTTGCTAAATACATTCTATTGGCACCTTGTTGAAGATTCATCATTAAGAGAGCATTGTAGCTTACTCAGTGACAGCAAACAAGAATAAGATCGATTTAAATTACAATGATGATTCAACACAGAATAATAAATAATCCGCGTAATAGCAACTTAAAATGACAGCTGCACGCATCAAACACTAGGCTTCAAATATCAAACATGACTTAATTTTTACTTAGGATATTACCAGCTGCCAGCCCGCACCATAAACTTAGGTACATATCACGAAGTTGCCCCCAAATCGCTGATCGTGAGATTTCCCAAGAAATATAGTATGTTGTAGGCGTGACAGCTTTTGTTATTTTCAATGTTATAAGCATTCTATATACCACTTGTGAGCGGCCAGTAAGTTATATTTTCCAGGTCGTCAGCGACTGGCACTGTGTGTGTTACTGGCCTTGCGCATTTACTCTTCATGTCTATCACTTTGGCATCATCTGGTGACTTGACCTTCACCATGAATTTCCTTCAACTGTCAGCATTGGTGAGTGACACAGTAGTGTTGCTTTTCTGCCTTCCCCCTCCCCCCCCCCCACCTTTCTTCCCAAAGATGGCCATTTTCAGCACCCGCCCAATAATGTCACTAGTTCTCAGACCGGAGACGATTGACAAGAGATGTAGTTCACAGAGAAATGAAAACTTAGTTGAACACTTGACCATGCACAGAAAAAATGCATCCCATCACTCACTGTCACCTGCCATAAGAAGAGACGTGCACACTTTTGTCATCTCGTGCCTGGAATGATTTTCCGCATAGTGTGTATAGACATCAAAACAGCTGAAGGACTGCATATTCTAACACCCCTAGAACATACAGCAGCCTGTGGGAACAGCCACATCATGAATGGGAACTGACAGAAAATCTCACGCGCTGACAATATGTAGGCAGGTTTGTGATATGTACCTAAACTTAATTATAATTTTGACATCATTTTTGTCATTTCTGGCAACTCCTGGGGGAAGGGGTGGGAGGGGGTTGGGTTAGTGCCATCCTAATGCAGGGGCTCATTGGTGGGCACTAGCCAGGGGGCCCTAAGAGCATAGGGGTCTCATTATAATCTGTTTATGTCATTAAGTGGTTGTTTCGAGGGACCCCAGCACACTGGTTTGACTAGGGCCCATAATGCTGTTAATATTGTGATGGGTGAGGAGAAGGGGAGGGAATATAACTGTGGAATAAAGAACATTTGTCCTATAAATGCAATATACAGATTAGTTACACCTATTTTAGTTTGCACTGTATCAAAACCCTTTAGTGTACGAGGATAGAACACATATCTCAATACATAGAGAACCAGTGTGCTGAACACTTGACAAACTGAGTTTTTCCATGAAGAAAAAGAGTTAAACATTTTAAAGAAATCACATCATACTCAATTAGCTTGGCTGTCAGGTTGACACAGCCTAAAATTAGTACCAGATAGTGTCCTGAGAAGTAAAAGCAGCCAGCCTGATGTTAACATCATCACTCTTCCATTGCTGGCTGGTCAATTAAAAAAATGGATCTTGAACCAACTTGCAATGTGCCAATGATTAGGGTCCTTTACTTCACTTCTTTAAATCAGACACAATTTACGCTCAAGTGGTGAGATTTGTAAAAATTTCAGTTGTAAATGTAACTTACGATTATCACTGATAAAACCATGACATTTTTGGCATCTCTAAAGAAAACTTTAGAATACTGGAAGTAAAAGGCGTGGAACAATCTAAACGTGAAGTAACACAGGCAGAGAATCTCCAGAATCATTGTGCCCTGCAGACGTAAACAAAAATTGATTGAAATGAACATACAGTCACATTCTACAAACACCTAACATTGAAGTTGTCTTTTGTGTAAGAGTTTCAGCACTATGGTATATGATGCTAGACTCATAAGTTTATAGACAAATCAGCATATGATGGGTAATGTGGTCAACATCAGCTGGTAGCTTCTACTTCTTCTTTTTTTTTCTCCTTCTCCTCCTCTAGTCCTGTTCTGCCTTTCAGTGCTAGGTTTTGAAGAGGCATCGGGTGTGAGCCATGGTATATGTTACGAAGGGGCTCATATCTACGGCCCCGGCTATACAGCCACATTTCTCCCAGATTAATGGTACCTATAATGGAATCAAGGCCGGAGGGTTGCGATATCCATAGTACCGAGCCAAAGGGTTTACAACTCATGGTTTCTGGATACTTGAAAAAAAAAAAAATCCATCACTTGTGTAGATTACCTCTGGATCTGCTTCCATTATGTCTATGTGACAATGCTCTCTGTGGTGCACTGTCTGGTGGTAGTCCTGATACATGTCCTCACCACTTGATCTGTTGTCTCTTGTTGTAGTTGAATACTGGTTCTGTCCCAACTTGTTTCCTGATATCATCATTTTTGATCCTATCTCTTCTAGTTACATTTAGGATTCGCTGTAGACATTTAATTTCAGTTGTTTCGATTTTTTATTTATTCTTTTGTTGTTAATGTCCATATTTGGTACTGATAACATTATGTTGGTAAAAATAATGTACTTTTATTTCAAAAGATATTTTCCTGGTAACTGATTTAGGCTTAATAAACTTAATTAATTTTTCCACATCTGCAAGGTGAAGATTTAAACCTAAGACATTAGGGACTCCAAACTAGCATCTAGAAACTACACTACAGTGACTCTTCCAGCAAATACTGAAACACAAATAATGTAAACAAACTAACTATTCTTTAAAAAAAATGAAAACAATACACATTTCTACATAATAAAATATTTATAACAGTGCACCGGTATAACAATTACAAATGCCAAAAAAATATAATCAGCACTGTGAAAACAATAAAATTACATAAACATTTGAGAAAACAATAAATATTTTTCTCCTCCCTGTTATTCAGTTTTTAAGTGAAGCAAAAACTATCAACAAGATACTTGCCCAGTAAGGAACAGATAAGCCTGGCACTGAAGGACTCTCAAAAACAGCCAGAGCCAGATCCAGGGCAATACAAAAAGAAAGTGCCCATCTGAGATATCTTTGGTTGTACAAATTGTAAGACCTGACACAAATAGAGTACAACTGTTAATTTTCCTTGCCTCATAATAAATGACTCATTACATACTGAATAATATGATGATAAGATTTTTAAAATAATTGTTTTACCCCTTTTATACTAAATCTAAAAAAGAGATTTTTGTTATTAAATAACTTCTGTACCAACCGTTTGCTGCACCAAGAAACTACAAAACTAAGGTACTTTGGTACTATGCAGAATTGTGTTGATTTTAGGTTAGGACCAGCAACAATGATTTGATTTTAACATTGTTCTTATACTAAAGGAAGTTTTCAAAGTTTTTTTTTTTTAAATCATCATTATCGAATGCCTTGTCAGATGATTTTGGTAACAATATTTCCTCATATTTTGCAGACTCCTATAGGTAATAAATTGTAAACAATATTTTTTCTTAGTGAATTTAAAAAATGAGGACACAAATAATACATTGCACTACTTAGTGCCTGGCATATGTCACTGTTTCTTAACAACAAACAATACTGGATTGTGCAAACAAAAAAAAGCATGTGGTGAATTTGAAACTGCCATGGTGAACAGGCAGCTATCTCTAACTTTCAGCCATGAGAAGTACAATGTAACTAAAGAAGATAATTTGATATATGTATTTCAGTGTAAAGGATTATTTCTGTGTGCTTGATGTAACTCTGTAGAATACACCAGAGAAGATAGAGTGATATATCCCAGGTAATAAATTGTGCACTGGTTTGTCTGTGTCCACACCATTTAAATCTAACTGATAATAATTAATAATTTCATAAATATTTTGAATGTTATAAAAAAAGTTTGCAAACAGAAATCATCAATGAGTTTTGAGTGTTGAATGTTGAATTTAAGAATCGACATCGCAGCACTTGGGACACACCCATAAATGCTCAGACCCCATCTTCAGCAGCAAGCGAAGAGTTCCAATTCTGATGGTACCAGTAACCCTCTGACTGTATATCCATCTCATCCTTTCCCTAAGTTTTGAGCGTCAGCCATATCCCCTAGTAACTTCTCGCAGTGCCATTCTCCTTAGACCGTAATGATCCATCTGCACCTCTACACTGTTCACTCGCTCCCAAAGTAATGAGATTTGAGAGATTAAATAGTGCAGGGACCAGTAGGCCTGCCTATGATGATCATAAAAAGAAGGAAAAACAATAAAAATCAATTACAAATATAAGAATTGTCACTGTCATATTTTGAATTGTTGCACTATTCCATCTTTCCAGACAGTAGTATTACAAACTGCTAAAGGAAGGCATGAACATCAAGCCTTTTGCACAGTCTACAAGACCAACAAACCACAGCACAAAGCCCTGGCAGTCTTGTAGAGACTATGTGTTGTTCATGCTGCATGATTCCTCCATCAGCTTACCTTGTCTACCTCAAAGAAAAAAGTAGTCAAAAAAATGTGGAACAAAACATGCTGCAGAAACTGCCAAATCTGAAGAGCATTGCTCCATCTGTCTACCTGACAAAGATTCCCTTCTATACCACTCCCAAACAAGGTTTTGGTCTGTCCCGCCATAGCATTAAATTTTCTAGTTGCATTTTTCCAAGAAGACGGCTAGTATCCTTCCCTGATGTGCTGCTCTGCCGAAAGAAACAATGGGTGATGTCAGGTTTAGTGTACTCCGACCAACATTAGGTGTTAACAGAGAACAAGCAGTGCTGACTACTGTTATATACTGTAGTTTAGTCATATTGATATAATGAAAACATAAGAGACATGTATCTATAAAAGTGTGATAGCAAATAATACCTGACATATTTGGCTCCAAGAATGTATTCCAATGTCCGTCCTCCTTTGGCATCCATCACTAGAGCGGAAGCCAGCAAGAGAGTCTGAAATTTGTAACAAAGATTACATTCATACAAATTTTATCATATATAAAAAACAATTTTTCAACACTCACAGAATTCTAAAAAAAAAAAAAAAATACAGTAAGTAAATGAAGGAATTGAAAATTAAATAAGAAGATCAAAAGAAAAGAAAATAAGTTGAAAACTGAGCTGAAAATATACACACTAATATAAGCAATAACTTTATTAAAACGATGGAATGAATAGAAGAATTATGTCTGCCAGTGTATCTTCAAAACCAGATATTCGAGGAATAATAAAATAACATAATAATATCACAGTAAACGAACAACTGTCTTGATTTCTCAAGCTAAAGCTATCCAACAGTCAGGTGCCATCGCTACGATGAAGGCTGTCTACAATGGATCTCCAACACTTTCAGTCTCTTGTCTAGGTAGTGCACTCTCTCAGACTGCTGTTTCTCCATTTTTTTATGTTCTCCTCCCACTTATAATGTTGTCTACCTCTTGCTCTCTTGCCTTCGACCTTTCCTTCCCGTATCGTTTCTTAAAGTTTACTGTCTTTTTATGTGGCCAAAATATTGTAACTGTCTTTTGTGTGTTAAAAATTTCTTTCAGTAATTCTCTTTTAAGTTGCAGTCTTTTTAAAACCTATGTATTTTATTGCATTTGTTTCCATGAAATACGGCCTATTTTCTCTATATCCACATTTTCAGAGACTCAGTTTGATTTTCTAGGTGCCATTTCATTGTCCAAGTTTCTGATTTGCTGATTTGCTCATTGTAATTTTGTTTATGTCAACTCCTTTAACAGTGTGCACCTTTAGTCCAAGCCATGTGGCAATTGTAATCATAATTATCCTCAACCTTCTGTCTCATTAACTGTCAATAATTTCTGATACAGATGTTCTTCCATACTATTATATGTTCTTCCATGCTATTATATGTTCTTCCATACTATTATATGTTCTTCCATGCTATTATATGTTCTTCCATACTATTATATGTTCTTCCATGCTATTATATGTTCTTCCATACTATTATATGTTCTTCCATGCTATTATATGTTCTTCCATACTATTATATGTTCTTCCTTACTATTATATGTTCTTCCATACTATTATATGTTCTTCCTTACTATTATATGTTCTTCCATACTATTATATGTTCTTCCATACTATTATATGTTCTTCCATACTATTATATGTTCTCCCATACTATTATATGTTCTTCCATACTATTATATGTTCTCCCATACTATTATATGTTCTTCCATACTATTATATGTTCTTCCATACTATTATATGTTCTTCCATACTATTATATGTTCTTCCATACTATTATATGTTCTTCCATACTATTATATGTTCTTCCATACTATTATATGTTCTTCCATACTATTATATATTCTTCCATGCTATCCTATGTTCTTCCATACTATTATATATTCTTCCATGCTATTATATGTTCTTCCATACTATTATATGTTCTTCCATACTATTATATGTTCTTCCATACTATTATATGTTCTTCCATGCTATTATATGTTCTTCCATACTATTATATGTTCTTCCATGCTATTATATGTTCTTCCATACTATTATATGTTCTTCCATACTATTATATGTTCTTCCATGCTATTATATGTTCTTCCATACTATTATATATTCTTCCATGCTATTATATGTTATTCCATACTATTATATGTTCTTCCATACTATTATATGTTCTTCCATACTATTATATATTCTTCCATGCTATTATATGTTCTCCCATACTATTATATATTCTTCCATGCTATTATATGTTCTCCCATACTATTATATGTTCTTCCATACTATTATATGTTCTTCCATACTATTATATGTTCTTCCATACTATTATATGTTCTTCCATACTATTATATGTTCTTCCATACTATTATATGTTCTTCCATACTATTATATGTTCTTCCATGCTATTATATGTTCTTCCATACTATTATATGTTCTTCCATGCTATTATATGTTCTTCCATACTATTATATGTTCTTCCATGCTATAATATGTTCTTCCATACTATTATATGTTCTTCCATACTATTATATATTCTTCCATGCTATTATATGTTATTCCATACTATTATATGTTCTTCCATACTATTATATGTTCTTCCATACTATTATATGTTCTTCCATACTATTATATGTTCTTCCATACTATTATATGTTCTTCCATACTATTATATGTTCTTCCATGCTATTATATGTTCTTCCAAGCTATTATATGTTCTTCCATACTATTATATGTTATTCCATACTATTATATATTCTTCCATGCTATTATATGTTATTCCATACTATTATATGTTCTTCCATACTATTATATGTTCTTCCATGCTATTATATGTTCTTCCATACTATTATATGTTCTTCCATACTATTATATGTTCTTCCATACTATTATATGTTCTTCCATACTATTATATGTTCTTCCATACTATTATATGTTCTTCCATACTATTATATGTTATTCCATACTATTATATGTTCTTCCATACTATTATATGTTCTTCCATGCTATTATATGTTCTTCCATGCTATTATATGTTCTTCCATACTATTATATGTTCTTCCATACTATTATATGTTCTTCCATACTATTATATGTTCTTCCATGCTATTATATGTTCTTCCATACTATTATATGTTCTTCCATGCTATTATATGTTCTTCCATACTATTATATGTTCTTCCATGCTATTATATGTTCTTCCATACTATTATATGTTCTTCCATACTATTATATGTTCTTCCATGCTATTATATGTTATTCCATACTATTATATGTTCTTCCATACTATTATATGTTCTTCCATACTATTTTATGTTCTTCCATACTATTATATGTTCTTCCATACTATTATATGTTATTCCATACTATTATATGTTCTTCCATACTATTATATGTTCTTCCATACTATTATATGTTCTTCCATACTATTATATGTTCTTCCATACTATTATATGTTATTCCATACTATTATATGTTCTTCCATACTATTATATGTTATTCCATACTATTATATGTTCTTCCATGCTATTATATGTTCTTCCATACTATTATATGTTCTTCCTTACTATTATATGTTCTTCCATGCTATTATATGTTCTTCCATACTATTATATGTTCTTCCATACTATAATACCAAACTGTCAGGCTGGTTGCCCCATGTCATCTTTCCCTCCATCTTTTCCACTGTCATGAGGTAACTTGTAATTTTCCCCTTCTCACACACAAAAAAAAATGTGGATTGTCTGCTTCTGATGAAAGTGATCAGTTTTCTTGGTGAGTTATTTTATTGTAAGATATCTTCACTGAGCTTTTTATCTGCCCATGGTGTTGTCAATACCATCATCACTAACTTCGGCGTTTGTCATTAAGTGGCATGGGAAGGACAACTACACAATCCAATGTTCGGCCAGTGCTGTTCTCTTTATTCTTCTATGAAACCACATCTCTTATAACTTATCAGTTGACTGTCTATGATTCAGAATCATCTCTCAAGATTTGCACCGGAGCCTTCAAAGAGGCCTGTGGCCCTCTTTTCTGAAAAACTACTAGATAATAATATTGAAAAGAAGTTTCTACTGTGGGGAATCTTGGCATTATTACATACTAATATATTTCTGTTGATGTGAAAATGGGGCACTGACCCTGCGCATTGCTTGTACTACCTTGCACAGTGCTTGCACTACCCTACACACTGCTTGTACTACTTTGCACAGTGTACTGGTTTCTTGGTTTAAAGAGAGATGGAGAGCTTGCAACAAAGTTATGATTAAGATGGTCTTTTGGTAATGGGACAGGAAACAAGTCTCTAAACCAAACTGATTCAGACAGAAAAAAGGCTTAGGTTGCCTGAATGCTCAATCTTATGGGCTTACCAACATGGTGGTCTGGCAGGCTTACCACCATAAGGGTCTAATGGGAATTAATCAAGTAACAGAAAGTATTGTGAATGGCACTCATAGAAAGAAGTAGAAAGATAGAACAACACACTAGACAACATAACAATCGAAAGCTATAGTTACCGTGCTGGGAATTGAACCTGTCACCTCCAGACGGCTTCTGCGCCTCGCCATGAAGTCAAGTGCACTAAGATACATGGTCAACTAGGCACCCCCAAAAAAGGTGTCTCATTGGCCATGTCTATTGTACAGCTTGAAATCCACGACTATGGAATACGGACAGAATTCATTTCAATCCATTGAAATGGCACCATAGGTTACAGAAATTTATATTAACGAAGCAAATGTTGAATAACAATCACAGCAACAATTTACGAACACAGTAGACCTTATTGCCTTGTCTAGAATACACAAACATTTAAGAAAGGTATTTGATTGGTAGGTTCCGGTGTATACACGTCATTCCTATAAATAAACAGAGGGGGGAACCATTTGAGGCCGTTAAATATTAGGAATTTAAGGGTCTAATGGACTTATCAACATAGTGGTATGTGGGCTTATTAACAGGTTGGTGTCATCATCATCATGTACTATGTTAATAATCGTAGACAGTCATGTTTCACCATCTCACATGATCACCAGAATTATGGAGCAGGTCAGTGTTATTTTGTCACCAAATCCGTATGGCCAAGCCACCATAGTATTTATCTCTTTGCCTTCTCCTTGCTCTGTTCCCATCAATCTTGCAAATGGTTACGAAATTCTCAAGTCCACCCCTTCTCACATGTCTGAAAAACACAAACTGACCTGCATCTAATTTCTCCAAACAATCTCATTTGTTTTTCTATCCTTTCATGATGTCTGCATTCTTCTCAAACACCCCATCTCTGCTGTGAGTAAAGGTTTACAATCATATAGGTGTGAATGAGCTCCATTTGATCATTAAGAGGCAAGGAACCAAAAGTCTGCATACAAATGAGCCAGAAGTGGAAAACAGGTGAGCACAAAAAAAAGCTTAAGTTCTGGAACAAAACTAAAGTCAAGAACAAGCAGAACCTTTTGCTGGAGTTTACAGCTGGTATAATGCAAAGCAGAAGAAAAAGAAGAAAGAATCATAAATAATCATATCTTGCAACAGATATGGCTTACATCTAACCTAATCAAGTATTCCTATTCTCATCATCAATGTTAGTTACCTCATCATCCAACTTTCCATCTGTATGTTTATCATTTGTTGTAGTTTCATCACTGAAGGAAACTTGCTTTTGTCTTCTTTGCAGAGAGCCTGGTGGACTTCCATTGGATGGGGGTTCTGGAGAGGTGCCACTCACGTCTTCTTTAGCAGATGTAGTTTCCTCCTGCTGTGTTTTGCCATCATCAGTTGTACTGCTGCCGGCTGTCACTTCATCCAGTGTAACTATCAGATCATTCACGTCCGCCATGGTAGCAGATTCTAAGTACAAACTTGTCTCATGCCTTTCATATAAGGTCCAGTAAAAGGTGTGTTAAATACTTGGACATGGTGAAGATAAAACAAAGTTGTATTGTTCGTTGAGATAAACCTATGGTAGAGTAAAAAAACAAATTATATGTAGCAGCAGTAATTTATACAACAAATTCTGTTCAACTCATCTGGGTTATAATTTGGATATAAATTTGTTTCTCTGTTTCAATAATGAACATTTCATTATCATCATGTAGCAGGTCCATTGCAGACTGTCGCTCTCATCATGGTCTGACTGAAAGAAACTCGGTCTCTCGATAGCTCTCCCGCCTCAAGCAGTCACTTATATCCGGTGCCCATCTTCATGTTGGTCGGCCCCTGCCCCTCCTTCCTGGTACCATGCCTTCTGCTATTATTTTTTCCAATCCATCGTGGCGCTTGATATGACCGAAATATTTCTGTTTTCGAGTCAGGATGCTGTTTATTAGCCAATCCTCCTTGATGTTCTGATCTTTCAAGATGTGAGTATTTCTCCTCTTCTTTGTCCAAGGTATTAATGGATATTTATGCCAATCAATTTTTTTCAGTTTTTCAGTATTGCATAGCTTGTGTATTAATTGCATATGACGTAGAAGTGTATCTGTTCCGAAAAGCCGAGGTATACTGGCCATGTTAAACATCATGGTGGCCTGGAAAGAACGGTGATGGAGTCCAAGTCCAAGTCCTTTTGAGAAAAAAAAAAGAAAAGCTCGACCACGTTCAGACTGCTGCTAGCTAGCCTAGGCTGCTAACAGTCTCCGCCTATATTTGTGGTCTGGGTTATTTGCGTCACTTTCGTGACTGAATACTAGTGTTTGTGCCATTTCTGGGCTTGATGCTTCCATCCGAATCAAACCGCTCGTCCTGTTGTCACTGGTTCATGTCTTCCTTCTTCTTTCCTGGTGTTTCCTGTTTGTTCTGTCTCTCTTTGATCTGGCTATGCCCGATCTGCCTCCGGCCTGTTATGTGACCTACAGTTTTACTTGACCTTTCAAACAGTTATAATAATCAAATTATGTGATCTTTCTATGTGGATCTGGATGTGATCTGGGATACCTTAATTCTGTCTTAAGATACATTTAACGCTTTATATGCTATGCTATCCTTTGTTCTTGTGATGTACTGTTCACACCCTCCCCCTCCCTGTAGTTCTCTAAAGATATCAACCTGCAGCATGATTTCTGGTATAGGTGTCATTATTTTCAAAGTCATCACCGTAAAAGAAAGAAAATATAAACTCAGCATCAAACAAAGACATATTATTACAACATTCATCACCATCATCATCCTATTGTGCCATCATATGTCACATAGGGCTCACAGACTGATCTCCTGGATGGAATCCAGTTCAGCACCTTTGGCTTCTCTCCTACAAGCTGTAGCAAATAATTTTTTTACAGGGTAGGAAGCTGGTCTCATGCCGAACCCCCCTCCTTTCTCACCCGGGCTTGGGACCGGTAATATTGGAGATAAAACTACATTGAAAACGATAAGGTTGGTTAAGTATTCTTTACAGGATGTTGCAGTACCAATCTCAATATTTGGCTATATTCTGAATAACGGTCCTAAATTATCGAGGTCGAAAATATACCCTAACATGTCAAATGCGAACTTCCGCCACCGCCGAGAGTATCTCCCACGCTGCTACATGCGGGCGTGGATTAGAGCTAAACTAGATGGCTGGGACTCACTAGCTAAAAAAATGAAGGAAGCTGCAGGAGATTCGGTAGCTGCTGCTCGTGTCTCCCAGTCATCTAGTTTAGCTCCAATCCACGCCGCGCGTAGCGGCGTGGGAGACACTCTCGGCGGTGGCCGTAGTCGCCGGAAATTCGTAATTGACATGTGACTGAGGCCCTGTTAGGTTATAATTGCGATGATTTGGTACCGTTACCACCCCTCCATAATATAGTACTGTCTAGATAGTACTGTCCAGGGATTCCCAACGAAATCTCGAAGCCGATGAGATGTTGTCGTATAAAATTAAAGTGCCTAATTTGTTTCTCCCCCATAACATTTAACGGCAAAAGATGAAACTGACTAAGATGATGATGATGATGACAACATAATAGACGTATGTAAATGTTAGTGCCAGGAGGCCGTTGCTAGGCAGTGACTAGACGCTAGCCTCACGCCTGAAGATTTTAGATTGGAATCTACATCGAGCTGATTTTAATAACTGACAAAGATCTCACGGTTCGACAAAGACTGGCTTGACTTCATCTTGGTTCGATCTAGTCTAAAATGGGAAGTAAAGGCGACCGAAGTGATAATGACCATACCACCATTGACCATCGAATGCCTACTGGTCTAGCACCATATGTCTGATTGTGACCTATATTTCCTTATCAATAATGTTCAGTTTCTTGATGGCTGACTCTTCCCGCTAGACTAGTCAACCTCCAACACCGCAACACTGCTGTGACGTTTTGGAAAAATTGGCCAGTCACGAGGCGTGATCCATTCGCGTGTGTAAGCGGTATCAGGTAACAATTACACTGGAGAGGGTAATACGTGAAATTTTCCTCCTCGTCGTTTGGCTGCTGAAAATATGCGTGTGCAGTTAGCATTGTAATACTAGTAATTGGTAGTCTTCACACGTTACAGTATCTGTATGAGTGCCGTAAGCATGCAGCGAACGTCTCCACCCCCCCCCCGCCCCCTGCCCCATGTTCAAGACGTGAACCGAGTGGCGTATTTGTAAAAGTTAACAGTGATACCGCATTAGGCTCTACACTTCTTTGCGACAAAATGTTTTACAACGGCCGTAAAACTCGTACCGAGCAAACACGACTGGAACCCGACAGGCGTAAATCTGTGGTACTGTGCTGTCTGATTCTGTAATAAACTAATTACCCAAACGTCTCTGGTTTGACCTAGTTAGGTGAGCAATATCTGTCGCTTATTATAACAGCGAGAAGCTCTGGAGACATGGACATACAGAAAAATACATCGTTGGTTATGGAAACAAAACCAACAAACCAGTAAGTTAAATAGGAATTTAAAAAAAAATGTGGATTTAAAAAAGTCAAGTTGTTCTGTTACTTTAACTCATTTTGTCCTACTTCTAATTTTAACTTTTTCTGTCGCATCTCCTCCTCCTCCTCCTTCTACTTCTTCTTGTTCTTCTTCTTGTTCTTCTTGTTCTTCTTGTTCTTGTTCTTGTTCTTGTTCTTCTTCTTCTTCTTCTTCTTCTTCTTCTTCTTCTTCTTCTTCTTCTTCTTCTTCTTCTTCTTCTTCTTCTTCTTCTTCTTCTTCTTCTTCCTCTTCTTCTTCTTCCTCCTCCTCCTCTTCTTCTTCTTCTTCTTCTTCTTCTTCTTCTTCTTCTTCTTCTTCTTCTTCTTCTTCTTCTTCTTCTTCTTCTTCTTCTTCTTCTTCTTCTTCTTCTTCTTCTTCTTCTTCTTCTTCCTCCTCCTTCTCTTCTTCTTCTTCTTCTTCTTCTTCTTCTTCTTCTTCTTCTTCTTCTTCTTCTTCTTCTTCTTCTTCTTCTTCTTCTTCTTCTTCTTCTTCTTCTTCTTCTTCTTCTTCTTCTTCTTCTTCTTCTTCTTCTTCTTCTCCCTCTCTAGTCCTGCTCTGCCTTTCATCATCATGCTTTGAAGAGGTATCGGGTGCGAGCCTTAGTATGTGCTGCGTAGAGATACAGGTATTCACGGCTTTGGATATACCATCTTTCTTTTTCTGTCGCATCTCCTCCTCCTCCTCCTCCTTCTTCTTGTTCTTCTTCTTGTTCTTCTTCTTGTTCTTGTTCTTGTTCTTGTTCTTGTTCTTCTTCTTCTTCTTCTTCTTCTTCTTCTTCTTCTTCTTCTTCTTCTTCTTCTTCTTCTTCTTCTTCTTCTTCTTCTCATCCTTCTCCTTCTCCTCCTCCTCCTTCTTCTGCTTCTTCTTCTTCTTCTTCTTCTTCTTCTTCTTCTTCTTCTTCTTCTTCTTCTTCTTCTTCTTCTTCTTCTTCTTCTTCTTCTTCTTCTTCTCCCTCTCTAGTACTGCTCTGCCTTTCATCATCATGCTTTGAAGAGGTATCGGGTGCGAACCTTGGTATGTGCTGTGTAGAGATGCGGGTATTCACAGCTTCGGATATTCCATCTATCCATTGCTTGCGTGGTCGTCCTCTAGGTCTGCTTCCATTGGGTCTAAGTGACAGGGGTCGATGTGTTGCACTATCTGATGGTAGTCTTGATACATAACCAAACCATTTGACCTGATGTCTCGTGATGTAGTTTAGCATCATCATTTTAGCTCATTCAGATTCAAAGTCAACCTTATCCACTGTCTTCTCTAATAAATAGAGAAGGCCGTGCCTTATCATATGGTTAAAAAAATCTGATAACGAACAAATAATTATAAAGCTGAATTATATCTCTAAAGATGAAGATATACAGAAGAAAAAAGTGTGTGCAGATTTTTCGACACCTATTCTGATCACGTACTGCTCGGACGAGTGGGTCTCTCTTTCATGGAAACAAAAACAAATACAGAGGAAAGAGAGAGAGAGAGAGAGAGAGAGAGAGAGAGAGAGAGAGAGAGAGAGAGAGAGAGAGAGAGAGAGAGAGAGAGAGAGAGAGAGAGAGAGAGAGAGGGAGAAGGGGAATATTTCGGTCACATTAAAAGATAAGAGAACTCTAATAAAACTAATAAAAACAAAACTACGGAGCGAAATTTGAAGCCAGTAAATAAGAAATAGACAGCGAGGACAATTGCAGACAACAATCATTACCAGATTTTGATGTTCCATGGGCCACTTATTGCAAGTTCGTTGTTATCAAAAGTAATAGCTACCCTTGAGAGTTACTGTCGTAATTATCCTTACTGATCTGTTTATCTGTGTCTGTCCGCAAATACAGCTGATTATATCGATAACTTGGAGAACGTTTTGTAATCTCAAGGCTAAAGAAGCACACGTGCATATATATATATATATATATATATATATATATATATATATATATATATATATATATAAGAAGA